GACAGAGTGGTGTTGGGTGTTCCCTGGGAAGACCTGCCCTAAGCCACCCTGTATGATTTTTGAATGATCCACTAGAATGTCTCATACAGGTGAAACAAAAATGTGTTTACAGTTTTCAGAGACAGTAGTCTTACTCTTATTTACATATATACTTTTGGCAAGGTTATTATGTATGTGTACACACACACACACAAACACACACACACACACTTTTCTAGGAACAAAACTGCAGGGTGATGATGCCTTGTTTCCTTTGGAACGCTACCGCAGCTTATTTACCTTTGGGGAAGTCTTGTCACTGATGGCAACATGTACCTCTTCACAGTGATGCAATGTGTAGGGGAAACTTAGGACAATTTGGCAAATAGTTGTTTGTATTTAATTGAAATGGGGAAGAACTTTGAAGCAAATAAGGGAAGCACTCCTCTCTTTCCTAGCAGAATCTCCAGTCCTTACCTAGCATGTGATAATTGCTCAACTTCATATTTATTCAGCTGAATGAATAGCAACACAGTAGTATTTAACAGATATTTGTTCAATCAGACTCTGTGCACCACATGTGTGCTTGGTGCCCTACAGAGGCCAGAAGAAGGCATTGGAACCTGTGGGATTAGGGTTACAGATGGTTGTGAGCTGCCATGGGGATGCTGGGATTCCCATCCTGGTCCTCTAGAAGAGTAGTCAGTCCCCTTAACCATGAGCCAACTAGCCCTGTTGGTTACTTATTCTTTTTTTTTTTTTTTTTTTTTTTTTTTTTTGGCTTTTTTCTTTTTAATGTGCGTTGTGCTTTGCTTTCATGTATCAGTGTACCACCACATATGACTGTTGCCTGTGAAGGCCAGATGTCAGATTTCCCCTGAACTGGAGTAACAGACAGTTGTGAGCTGAAACGTGGGTGCTGGGAATAGAATCTGGATCTTTTGGAAGAGTAGCTGGTGCTCTTAACCACTGAGCCATCTCTCCAGCCCCTTGGATAACTCATAACTACTTTTTTTTCCCAAGTCATTCATATTCTGTGCCAGGTATTTATAATTTAATTTGAAGCTGGTATATCCCCAATTTAATAGTTGGGAAACTGGGGCTGGAGAAATGGCTCAAAGTTTAAGAGCACTGGCTGCTCTTCCAGAGGTCCTGAGTTCAATTCCCAGCAACCACATGATGGCTCACAACCATCTGTAATGAGATCTGGTGCCCCTTCTGGAAGAAATACATGCAGACAGAACACTGTGCAATAAATAAATAGATAAATAGGTAAGATAAGATAATTGGGAAACTAAGGCTCAGAGAGATTGATTTACTTGCCTAGGTCTTCACAGCTTCTAAGATTTATAGCACTTTAGTCTTCATCTCTCAAAAATATGTTTTTGGTTTTTTTGAGGCAGAATTTCACTATGAAACCTTGGCTGGCCTGGAACTCATCTGCAAACCAGGCCGATCTTCAAACTCATAGATCTTCTTGCCTATAGCTGACTATCCCAGAACTGCCTTTTGGGTTTTTATTTACCATTATATGTTACTTTTTTTTTTTTTTTTTTGAGACATTTAGCTGTAACTCTTCAATTGTGGGGGAAAAAGTATGTCAACCAGTAATTGTTTAAATGTTTAAAGAAAATCTTCATTACTTTTGATACTTTCTTTAATTAACATAAATATTCTTTAAATAATAAATGGTTTCTACCTCATATAATGCTGGTATGCTTGGTTATCTTGTTATCTAATTGACTTTGAAATGATTCTGAGATAGGGTTTTTCCTAATTTGAATTGCTAGTAAACTGTGGTAAGCTCTAGAGTTGATAGTGGCAATGGTTGTACAATAATGAGAATGTACTTAATGCTACTGAAGTGTACACTAACAATGGTTGAAGTAGTAAATTTTATGTATCTGTAATTACATTTTTATGCTTTACTATGCTATGGCAGGTTCTAGGTAGCCTAGACTGACTTTGAACTCTTGATTCTCTTGACTAATCCTCCTGAATGCTGAGATTATAGGCACATGCCACCACACTTAGCTTTGCCACAGTTACTAAAAAGTGGTAACAGAAGTTCAAAGTGACTCAAATATTTTTGAGAGCCTTTTGTTAACAGATACCTTTAATAAGGTGTTGGACATCACTTACCAGCATGATCTGACCAAATTAGATATTCTTTTTTTGTTGTTTTTCTTTTGAGAGAGGGTTTCTCTATAGAGTGTTGACTCTATAGACCAGACTGACTTCTAACTCAGATGATCTGCCTGCCTCTGCCTCCTTAGTGCTGAGATTAAAGTCATGCGCTTCCAGACCCAGCTCAAATGAGATATTCTTAATACTCAACTGTTTGGGGGAAGAAAAACAAAACAAAACAAAACAAAAAAACAAAGAGCCAGGCATAATGGAGCACATCTTTGATCCCATCTCTCAGGCAGAGGCAGGCAGTCTTTGAGCCAGCCACCTGGTCTACATAGTGAGTTAATTCCAGGACAGCCAGGCTTACATAGTGAGACCCTGACTCTGAATGAATGAATGATAAATAAATAAATATCCTGTTGATTTGAATGCAGGTCTAGAGATGGAAGTGTGGTAATATTCTGATAATATATTAGGTCTTTTGGGAGCCACCTTTAGAATGGGTATGCTTTCCTGAGGATACAGAGACTGTTAGCCCCTGGCTTTAGTTTCTCATTCAAAGGGCCCTGAGGGAATAAGTAGTCCATTTCAGCAGGTGTTAACTGCATGCATTGGTCTGGAATGATGGTTGGTGCTCTATTATATATGAAAGGTTGTAGAGTTAGTATTGGTGTAGCATGGAATATTGCCTAACATTTCTCATTGTTGTGATACATTTTCTGAGAGAAATAATGTAAAGAAGCAAAGTTAATTTGATGGGGATAGCCTATTGCGGCAGAAAACCATTCATCATGGTGGGCAAGCATGGTGTCCTGTGACTCCATAGACGAGAAACAGGAAGCAGAGACCAGACAGAAGTCTAAAGGGCCATAAAACCTCAGCCCACCCCAGTGACCCATTTCCTTCAGGGAGGTGCCACCTCCTAAAGGTTTGTACCACATCCCTCAGTGGTATCGCCATCTAAAAACCAAGGGTTCAAACACATGGACCTGTGGGGGGACATTTCAGATTCCAGCCATAACGCTGTATGTAATTGAGATTATCCAATTAAAATCTTTGTCTCAGAGAGGTAAGCTTGCTGGTAGCATTGAATCAACTTCACTTGTATGGCCATGTTGTTTTCGTATGTCTTGCAGTTTAAAAAAAAAAAAAAAAGCTTTGGAAGTTAGAAGAGAATAATCTGATAGAAATTATACTAGGATTTATTGTGCTAACGAGCATAAGAGACCTCCATCTTGAACTGGGTGTGGGTCAAGTAGGTGAGTTCACTTGTAGAAGTCCATCTGGTTATGTGCTATATAATGTGTACAGTTTTGTGATTGTGTCAATTAAAATTTTTAAAAAATTACAGCACAGAATTATAATGGAACACGATATGTTTTAAATTTTTCTTAAACCACCTAATATGTAAAGTTGGGAAGAAATGAAAATCCCACTATTACATAGTGTAAAAAAAAAATACATTGTATGTAAATGTAAAACATTACAATATCAACAGATACTAGGAAAACTGGAATAAAACCCTTACTATAGCGGTGTTTGTTGTGTCCAGATGAAGGTTGTGGATTTGGTGTAGTTGCTGGGTGCTTTTGTTGTTGTTCCTTTGGAAGAACAATTGATTTTGTTTTCCCTGTTTCGGGAGCAATAGAAGATGTAAAGCAAAGTCATGCTACAGGTAAGAACCACAAAACAGTGAAGGAGAGGAGGGGGAAACTCATTTTTAAAAATGAAGGAGAAGGCAAGGTCAATGAGAGGATTGTAGCAATATCAGGAAAAAAATTAACCTGCTAGGAAAGGCTTTCACTAAGTTAAACCATTATGTTGTAGTAGTGTTGATTAAAAATCCTCTCCTTCACCAAGCTTCTCATAGATTTGCTTATTAAAAATAATTCACAGGTAACGCTTCAGTTTTATTGGTTTTGTTCAAGAATTGAATTTTAATGAAACTGTGTCATTGATATAGTAGCCTCAGTTTGCTGTAGCGGATGCAGCGCACACTTTAATTCCCAGTCTCAACCGATTAACCTTTGCAGTAATGTGCTCAGCGTCGTGTTCAGCTTTAGGGGGAGCAAAGAGTGCACCTCATTAGGTTTTAGACTCAAATCGGGGGTGACTGGTGAGAATACTTGAACAGAATTAAACACTACACCATTGTAAACTACAGGGTTTTTCTTGCTTCTCCGTCTTTCCACAGACCTTTGCGGAAGGCAGTTAGTTATTTGGTGATGGAATTTATTTCATTTACTGAGTCCCTAAGTTGAGGTTTATGAAAGGATGCATTTTTTCCACTGACGTTCTGCAAAGGTTGCATTTAATGTTTTTGAGGTGTGGTTATGATTGCAACGCGCCCTTTAATATTTTATTTGAACGACTAAGAGCTTTTTATATTAAGGTGAAGTGCAAGTGCTTTTATTTTTACTATTGAGCTGTCAGGAGAGTTACCGGCGTTTTCCCCATTCCGGTCGGTCGGTCGCTGTCGTTATTCCACCATGCTTATTTAAAAGAATGAGCCGAGCCCCATTTCCCCAGGGGCTTCGCCAGGGCTTGCTTTGAGGAGCCTTCTGTGTAGCTCGGCTGGCTCAATGAGTCGGCTGGTCTGAGAGCGCTCCGTGGCACTAGGACCCAGGGGGCTCCCGTGAGCGGATCTTGGGGCCAGATTGCAAATTCGCGGTGACTCAGTCTGGTCGGCTCCTGGCGCTCGAGGCGGCCGCGGCGGCACAGGCACAAGCGGACGTTGGCGCGGAGCTGTGGAGCGGTCCGGCCGGGCTTCGGGTCCGAGCCTCGGTTGGGGCTGGGGCTGGGCGGCGGCGGGCGGGTGCGCGGACGCGCGGCGGGCCTGTGCGCGGGACTAACATCTGCTCGTCTCTTCCTGTGTCTGGCTTTATGTGCAGCAAACCAAGATGGAGTATGAGTGGAAACCTGACGAGCAAGGGCTTCAGCAGATCCTGCAGCTGCTCAAGGAGTCCCAGTCTCCGGACACCACCATCCAGAGGACCGTGCAACAAGTATCCTTGCCGTGCGGGGCCTCGCGCCGCCGCCCGCCGCCCCTCCCGCCCGCCAGCCCGCGGCCCCCGCCCGGCCTCGCGCACGCGGCCGCAGCCCGCCAGGCCCGCCGTCGCCGCCGCGTGGGGCTCGGCCGCCGCTTCCGGGCCGCCGCCGGGGAGGCCACACGTGCCGGGCCGCCACGTCCCCGCCGCCGAGCGGGAGCGGCCGGGCCCACACAATGCCCGGCGGGGCGGGGGCGCCGGGCCTGCGCGGGGCTGAGCGGCGTGGCGCGGCGCGGCGCGGCCGGGGGTGGAGCTGGCGCGGGGTTTGAACTGTCTGGAGGGCCCGGGGCTTCCTCCAGCCGCGCCGGAAAGCCTGGCTGCTCGGTAGTGCTCCGGGTAACACCTGTTGCAGCCTCCCTGGAGCTCCAGTGAGGGCTGCGGGATAGCGCTTTGGCCCGCGGCTGGACTACAGTTACCCCAGGGGTTGCCGGGTGCCGAGTGCTGGTGTAGCGGTCCCGTTGCCACAGTTGGAGAGGGAGGGAGAGGCGGTGCATTTGCAGGATGCACGGGTGGAGGGCTCGTGCAGGCTCCAGAAGGAACGAACAGGCAGATCTCAACCAGTTAACCCCTGCTAAGTCCAAGCAAGTTAATTCTTTAAGAACTTAGGTCTGCTGTGTTCGCAGCATATTCTCCTGTTAGTGTTTTCAGTAAGCAGCAGAATCACCTAATAGGGGATTTAGTAAATAAGCCCCTGGCGTTTGTGCTCATTTCATTTTAAAACACCACAGAAGTGAAGTTACTAGAGGGCTTCAAGGAAATACTGCATTGCTGTAACCTCAGCCTTCCAATAGATGACTGAATGTGACACTGCCCGATTAAAAATGGATGGGATAGTGGCTTGGATCTCCTTGGATTGTTTAAAAAGCCATTTTGTTTGAATATCTTTGAGACTAGGGAAAATAATAGTTTGGGATATAGTGGAGCTTTTTTCTGAACCACGATGTAGATAAGTCTTAATTTGTGTTGTCATTAGAAGTTGAAAAATGTTGGTATTGTTTTACAAAATAATTAGTTTCTAAAATTTAGCCAAGTCCAGAATTGCATTGTAATTTCTGTAGCACTGAGTATTTTAATTTCTTGTTTTAAATACCCATTGTATACCAAGTGTGGTGCTTGGGCCAGCCCAGTAGTTAGTGTACAATTTATTCTGTGTATTGAGAGCATATTATGTTCTGTGGGTAAGAACAAATCAATCAAGCATGGCCCTGCCACCTCTAACCCCAGCACTTAGGAGGCTGAAAGGACTTCAGAGTCTAGTGGGGGCCTGTTCTTTTGTGTCTGCTTAGCATACAGCCGATTTATTCTGTGTAGGCTTGAACACTTTCTGGAAGACTTATACAGATGGACATATGTTTATATATTTGTATGTGCATGTTAAGTTGCATGGGAGTAAGCTTTATCAGAAAAATAATACATAAAATTTATTAACACGTTAATAACACATGTTTGGGCTTTTCTTGTTGGAGAGTAGTTAGATTTTTTTGAAGTTCTACTAAAGTACATTGCTAGAATTTACATCCTGACCCTAGGCATTTTGAGGTCATTTCTGATTTGTAAAAAGCTTATTTAGCTTATTTATTTAACAATTAATTTAGATTTCTTTAGTAAAATTCATTCTAATCTCTTTGTGCAGTAAAACGCTGTTGGCAAGCATACTACCCATTTGAGAATCAGGGCTTGAAAAATTTAGAGCATTATGTCACTGTTACCTGCCAGTTTGTGTCCTCATATCTTGGGATGAAAGAGAATTGATTTGACTGACATTGTATCTGGGAAAGAATTGGTGTAGAGACATGGGCAAAGATGGCATTTGGTCCCTTGTAAGTTCTAAGCAGATGAGTCAAAAAAAAAAAAAAAAAGTCATCTTGCTAATATTCTCAAAAGCTCTTGAGCTCAAAAACTTGTTCTTATTTCTTTAGGACGCTTTTTTTTTTTTTTTCCGTCTTTTTGCACTAAATACTAGGTTAGGATGTTTTAAAGTTGTCAGCTCTGCTTTTGAACATGCATTGCTTTAGTGAGTGTGTGCAGATGCGTACCTTCACTTGTGTCTTAGTGAATAGACTCGATGCTGGATGTTAGCCATGAGGAACTGAAAGGGATTTTTATTTTTTTGACAAGTATTAGTGTGTTGTAAATAACATCAAGTTCGATTCAGTGAGCAAATATTATTCTTAGAAAAAGTGGAAGCCTAGAAATACTGTAGAAAGGGTTCTTGATTGTTAGATTTAAAAATGTTTAATTTCTTTCTGAGGTTATACAGAGAAATTTCCTTAACTACTGTTTGTTCTAGAAACTGGAACAACTCAATCAATATCCAGATTTTAACAACTACTTGATTTTTGTTCTTACAAAATTGAAATCTGAAGGTAAGTAGAACTTGGGTAGATAATTAACTAAAAAATGTCTTTGCTCACTATAAGATTTTACATATTGTGAATTATTAATTTTAGAGGATTTCATTTTGTCATCTGATTGATAGATGTCAGATGTTCTGCCTAGAGTTATTGCCACTCTTAATATTTAGATGGGTAATAAGCATTCTCCTTCTGATTGGATGCTTATGTAACTCCATGATTTGCAGCTGGAAAATGTGCTGCACAGTCTGTCTTGGTTTTTGAAGAATGACTTTCTTAATAGTATGCAGGTTGGATGTAGGATTTAATAATTACCTGACTGTATGTGTATGTTCATTATAGAAAAAAACCTCAATAGCCATGTAGTCAAAATGAAAACTGTTGTCTCTGAACTTTATTTTGGCTTATGATTATATACTGTTTCAAAATTATTAACAAATTATGGAGCCATTAACTATATAATTTTCATTTTAAGTTATTCCTACAATACTTTAAAGCTAACTAGTCTTTTTTTAAATGACTGGTCTTTAATTATTCCTAATACATATCATATGTCCTTCTGGACTTTATTTTACAAATTATTTGTTAGCATCACTTCTTTGTCAGGCAATTTACAGGCTGTGAGAAATAAATACAAATAAAACAAATAATGATCATTGCCCTCACTGAGATCATATTATAGTGAGGTGTGTTCTTTATAACATTTGAACGTCACTTCCTGGAACACTGTAGACACTTAGTATTGACAGTTTTGTGGCCTCTAAATGAGAGCACTATCCCTTGTTTGGCGATGGGGTTTCAGAAGCCATAGTGAAAACACTGTGCTTGGAGTTGTAAAGGAAGCTGTTTGGACTCTGACACTGGGCATTTAACCTGTCCTGCTTATTTCAGCTAGACAACCAGATGCTATGAGATCTCAGCTCCAGCCTCTAGCATGTTACAGAAGTAAAGATTTGATCATTCAGCCACACTCTAGTGATTCTTTTGATTTCTCAGATGATTTCCTAGTTGCTTTTGTGGCTTTTGTAATTGAGGGACATATTAAAAATTTAAAACTAATCACTGATTACTATTCTGCTTTGGTAAATACTTAGGAATATACTGTTTTTATTAATATAGAGAAATTTTTCACATACCAGTTTGTGATCAATGATCATTTGGCTGGTGGTATAGTTCATTTGTAGAACAGCACACCACCACCAATACAGGGTTTCTCTGTGTAGCCCTGGCTGTTCTGGAACTCACTCTGTAGACCGGGCTGACCTCAAACTCAGAGATTCATCTGCCTCTGCCTCCTGAGTCCTAGGATTAAAAGTATATGCCACCACACGCACCTGGCTAACTTTTTTAAAGAACTAAAATATTTATAAATGACATACTGAACTTTAATTGTTTTATTTAAAAATTTTTGTGCTCTGTCCTTTTCTTACCCTAATTGCAAGTAAGTTGTTACAGTATTATATTTTTTATTTAAGAATTTCTTGGCATGTACAGATACTTTAAAAAATTCAAATATATATAATGAAGAATTTAAATTCTAGATAGCTAACCTCCCCCATCCCCCATGGACCTATTAAATTATAAACCTACAAGATAGTCTCGCTTTTGACCTAAAGTTTATTTTGTCTATTTCTTAGGCACTCTCCAAGGATATAGTGGTAGTTTTGTATTTGTGTAAAACTTTTATTTCTTCTTATGCCACGATAAATGTATCTTCCTTCAGCCCAGAAGAGTGCCGTACCGTGTGTGTGTGTGTGTGTGTGTGTGTGTGTGTGTGCGCGCGCGCGCACACACACAAGTATACCTCACGAATGTCGTGCTTGTGGAGACCAGAATCCTCTGAAACTGGAGTTAGAGGTGGTTGTGGACCCCTTGTGGGTGCTGGGAAACAAACCCAGGTCTTCTCACAAGAGCAGCAAGGGCCCCTGGCTTTTGTGGTCGCTCCAGCCCCACTATTTAATATCTTGTTATTGACTCGTTAAAGATTTTTTTTTAGTAGTTTTTTTTTTTTTTCAATTCTTTATTTTAGAGGCAGCTGGCCTTGAACTCAGAAGAGGTGCCTCTGCCTCCCACATGTTGGGATCACAGGCCTAAATTACCTGACTGAGTAAGCTCTTTAGGTTCAAGCTGGTCTGTGCCTTTACTTTTACAGATGAGCAAATCAAGGCCTGATGCTGTAAAATCTTATTTTAAAGGGTAGAAAGCAATTCATTGGTGGCTTTTTAAATGGAATTTGGAAATATACTTTAAATTGGTTTGCCTTGTGGTTTATTAAAAGTGTTCTTCTTGTGATATTTCTTATAAAAAGACAATGTATTTCCTATGAATGAATGCATGCCACTTAAAATATCTATTACTAAATTATTCAGCTGTGGTGTCTTAAGAAAGTTAGTATTTGTTCATTTATCTCATAGCAACTTAGGATCTAACTCTAGACAAAGACGGCCTTCCATGGAGTTTTAAACTTAGAATTTAATGTTTTATTTTAAGCCACTCACTGAAATGCATGCTAATTGGAAGTAGAAAGGTGTTTTCAGGTGTTGTCATAAGTGCTCTTAGTTCACATTGCCATGGTGACACGAATAGGGTATCTGTGCCAAGGAAATGTGCTTTATTCCTGAAGATTTTCCTAGTCAGAGTGTGGGTGGGCATACTAACTACATTTTGATACTTTGTCTGTGTGTGTTTGCTGTGTGTGGGGTGCCCTCAATAGGTCCCTGGAGGTGGAGTTACAAGTGATTAGGAGCCACCTAGTGTGGGTGCTGGGAACCACTTGGGTCTTCAGTCTTCTAGAACAGTGGCATCTAGCTGCAGGCCCTGGGGTCCTTGCAGCCTGTATGGAGGGAGGTGGTGGGGAGAGCTAGGTGCTTCCAGGTGATCCTTTGACTCTCCGTTTAGTGGTCCCACGTGACTTTGTTTGGAGATGGGGGTCTCTATTTAGCTCTGCTCTACTGTCTAGACCAAGCTGACCCGAGCCATCTGCCTCTGCCTCCTGAGTGCTAGGATAAAGGTGTGTGCCACTACACCAGATTGATAATTTTAGATTTTTATTTTTTATTCTTTTGGTTTTTTTGAGACAGGGTTTCTCTGTGTAGTACTGGCTGTCCTGGAACTTACTCTGTATTCCAGGCTGGCCTCAAACTCAGATCCTGCCTCTGTTAACCAGGTTCTGGGATTAAAGGTGTGTGCCACTACTGCCAGGCTCAGATAATTTTTTTATTTGAAATAATAACTCGATAAAGCCATTGATTTGAAATACTAACTTGGCCTGTGTTGAGTCTTTTTTGATTCAGGTTCCAGTTTCAGCTGTATATTGGATTATTACCTACCTAGAAAGTGTGCAAGGATTGAATGTAGTAATATTTGCAGCAGGCTTTTAGAAGATGTCGGCTAGTCTAATGTCATCTGTTGGCATGAGCGGTGAATTAAGCATCTTTCAGAAGAGAAGTATGAGCCTTGAACAGCTGAGCTGTGTCTCCTGCTCTACTGTGAACATCTTTGAAAGTCAGTTTATTTCTAATGCTTTGGGAGATTTTTGCTTCATTGTCTCCCCAAATAGAGAAGTAACAAGCATAGCCATCATGTTGCATGAAAGGGACCATATATATATATATATATATATATATATATATATATATATATATTAAACATTTGCTCCCCCAACTGGAAGAAGTTTGTGATTTTTCAGGAGCAGTTTTCTTTCAAGGAGACATCTGAAAATACTTTGGACTGCCATGGTCTGAAAAGGTGCCAATAATGCCACCAGCATCTTAAAATGGACTAAGCAGTGCTCTACTCCAAATAATTATTCTGGAAATGTCAGTAGTGCCAAAACCAGCTATAGCAAAAAAAAAAAAAAAAAAGTAATGTTGGAAATCAATCCGTGAATATAAATACTTTTAAAGTGATTGTTGTTGGTTCATTTTGCAGTAAAGATTCCTTTAGGACTCAGAACTGTTACTGCTTCTTACAGATGAGCCCACAAGATCATTGAGCGGTCTGATCTTGAAGAATAATGTGAAAGCTCATTTCCAGAACTTCCCAAACGGTGTGACTGACTTCATCAAAAGCGAATGTCTAAATAATATTGGTGACTCCTCACCTCTGATTAGAGCCACTGTTGGTAAGTTCTGTTACAGAAATTTTGTGTCCTTTTTCTAACTGGATTACTTTTAGAAATGGGATGCTATATTTTCAGGAATGTTTCTTTACCTGTTTTAAACCCTTGTCTATAGTGAGTGCTCACCGTTGCAGTAAAAGCTCTGCAACCCCGTAAAGCCGAGGCCACTGGATGTGGATAAATCAGTTGGTCAGAGTGGGACGTCAAGGACTAAATTAGGATCTCTGCCTTTTTTCCTGGGAGGTTGTGTTCACCGGGATTCCTTGCCTGCAATGCCTTGGGGCGTTTCTAGTGTTGCTCTTGCCGTACAGGAAGTCTTGTTTTAAAGCACCAGTCTTAAGTGTAGGATTCTATAGTTGTACTGTTTTCCCCTGCCACTAGCCTGCTTTGTGTCTGCTGCAGCAGCAGGGTTTGGCTTCTTTGCTTTTTAAGTCTTTCCAGTGTTCAGCTTGGTTTTCAGGGACTGAAGAACTGTTTGTGTAGTAGTAAAGTAAAATAACGGCAATAGCTGGCATGCGTCACTTTGGGAGCTCACTGCTGTGACTGGTCAGCACATGTCAGCATGTCACATGTCAACAGCTCTGCACAGGTACTTCCTAGGGAGCTACATGTACTTCACAGAACCTCCACTGTCTGAGTGCCATGGGTTTAAGCAGCTGTCTTTTACCAGGGCCTGGAACGATGTTAATTCAGCAGGTTGTTTAAATGACGTCTGTGAACTGGCTCAATGTCTCATTCGGTGTTCTTGTTCAGGGTGAGGATCCTTAGTTCCCTGCAGTTTGTCTTTCAGTTGAGAAGTACTGTTTGTGTCTTTGAGGTTCTGACTCCTCGGGCATTTCTGTACTAAAGAGTGCCATTATTCTGACTTCACATTTGAGGAGTATGGTACATTTGTAGTTTGGGGGGACAGACTCGGGCTCTGTAGGTTATTCTCATGCGTTCATGTATCCTTGCAGCATCACCAGCTCTCAGTAGTGATAAAAAGAATGGAGTATGCCAGTGATTTCTGTGGAAAGCCAAGGAAAGAAATCCACATACATGTAGTACAATGGGATTTTAGCAGAAAAAAGCAGTTTAGCTGAAAGGAAAGGAAAATTCAGTGTGAGATTGTTGTTGGCTTCCTAAGCTGTCAGGCTTGGAATTAGTTAAATATTATCAAAAAATTTTATTGATGTCTGTAATGCATATTTCTTGATGTCATTTCATAAAGTCTGTCCACTTCTTGGGTTTTAGGTCTAATTTTTATTATCTACTCTAATATTCTGATTGTGAGGCCGTTGAAGTTTTCCAGTGTAACCCAGTTTTTAACTTCAGATGTCAGTGCAGTATGTTTCCAAGGGATGTCTGGAATATGATATAGTAATTATGAGTTCAATGGTGGCTGTGAATAGAATGGCTAAAACACTGATTGGCATGTGTTAAAAGAATGGCAAAAAAAATGGTAGTGAGTATATTTAATTAGTTCATTGTATTTCTTGACTTTTACATACAGACTAAATATCCCTTGGGGTTTGGGGATGTTTACATATGTTTTGCCTGTTGGTCAACCCTTACCATAATTCACATTGCTATAAAATCTGACTGTTCTGAGAAAATCTCACTGTATCTCTTAACTGGCATGGAACTCATGATGAGATTTTCTTGTTTCTACCCCTGAGTGCTGAAATTGAAGACTTAGGCCATACCACACCTGGCTAATAATTTTTGATAATTTAAAAGTCTGAAATATTAGCTACATAATACTGTCAACTTGAAATAGTTAAGCAACGTGTCTGCTTTGTGTTGTTAAATAAAAATAAAAAGACAAGTGACTCTGCAAGACAGCAAAACAAAAGCTTAAAAATATGCAGAGATTTACACCTGCTCATGGTGCTGCGAATGGGAGAGAGTTAATGCTTTGCCCAGGCGAGACAGCTACCGCTTTCTGAAAGTTCAGGACACATGACAGAAGGAGCAGGTAGGAAGAATTAAGTAAGCACTGGAAGCTAGTGAGGAGGGCTTTGAAAGGCCGTCTTCTGGGTGTAGATGGCCACCGGATTCACCTGTCCTGGGACTGCACCAGACTGCCCTGTGAACAGTTTGTTTTGGGTGGAGGAGGGGTCCATGGGTCCACTATTGCTGGCTTCTGAAAGGTTGTGGGGGAGGTGTAGCCATTGTCCTCGTTCATGTACATGCTGGTGAACCCACCAAGCTCCAGTGCATGATTTCAAAGGATGGATCACTAACGAAGGCATCATATGGAAAGGGAATTTGTAGGAAGAAAGATCGTTGAGAAGAAAGGGTAAGAGTGACAATAACTAGGGTGTATGAAATTGTCAAAGAACAACTTTAATACAAAGAAAACCCCTTTCCCCTTTTCCTCCTGTTTTGTTGGAGAATGAAGATGGTAGACCAGTAGGAGTGACTTGCAGAGAGAACTTACTGGGTGGATCACAATATTGCAGTTACTTGATTGTAAACCATCACCTGGAATTTAAAGTACTTTATTGGGGTGGAAGTAGATCACATGAAGCATTGCCTGGAATTATGATTTCTTTTGATACAATATTCATATCATATTAAGAACTTAGTAAATATTTTTAATTAAGGATTTCTGATTATAAAAGTAAATTTGCAACTTTAGGTTTAAAATTTTTAGAATTTGATATGGAATCTTGCTTCCTATTCACTGTCCTGGACTATAGTTAGTTAGAGGCATGTGCCTTCTGCACTCAAGTATAATTTCTTCTTCCTCTTCCGTTTCTCTAAAGTATTTGTGAATCTTGTCAAGAAATTTTATTTGGAAGGTACATCATTTTAATGATTATGTGCTAATCCATTGGGTGAATGATTTGTTTACCTTATAATATAATTCATGGCTTGTTTGTAGTTTTATTATTCCAATGAGTATTGTTTATGTATGCTTATATACTTGTGGCAAAGTTTAAGATAAGTTCATATAAATTACATTATTGGGACCAAAGTATTTTTTTTAAAATTTTTTATTTATATTTTGAGTGTGCTACATGTATTCCTGCATTTCTGAAGAGGAGGTCATATCCTATTACAGATGGTTGTGAGCCATCTTGTGGATGCTGGGAATTGAACTCAGAACCTCCTGCTTCCATGCCTTGAGTTCTAAACACTAAAAATTGTCACTTTTCAAGTTTTCGCCTCTTCTTAGTATTGGGTATTAGGAGTTTTGTGTGTGTGTGTGTGTGTGTGTTTTTTTTTTGTTGTTGTTGTTTTGTTTTGTTTTGCTTTGCTTTTTCTGGAGAAGATAGGATTGTTGGACTACATAAATTTGAAATTTGTCAGTCTATCAACATTCTTTAATGTTTCCCTAACAAACATAATGCCATCTAAGTTGTAGGTTATGTCTATATTTTGTCCACTTGGCTTCTCTGAAGTTTTTTTGCACTTTGTCCTTGGTTGGTTGGTTGGTTGGTTGGTTGGTTGGTTGGTTGGTTGGTTGGTTGGTTTGGTTGGTTGGTTGGTTTTGGAGGGCACAGAGTTTTTCATTGTGGTCCTGGTAGACCTCTGTAGATCAGACTGGCCTCTAACTGGTAGATCCCCTGCCTCTGTGCCCCAAGTGCTGGGATTAAAGGTGTGCACAATAGAGCCTGGCTTGGCTTTGTGCTTTTGGGTCTTCCTGCATCCATCTCCACGTTGGGATTACAGTTTTAGTGACCACAGAGTCCCTGTGTCCTGTTACATTTTAACTTTAGGAAAGAATAATTGACATGAAGAACAAGATCTTGTTACATAATTGGTTCTTGCCTAAAAGCTAATACGAGTGATAACGTTAAGCACAACTCTGATTGCAATATGCTTCTCTTGGTATATTTTGAAGTGTATATTTGCATGTACTTCACAAAGTGCAGTGAGCTCCAAATGTATGTTGTCTTTCTAGGTATTTTAATTACAACCATAGCCTCCAAGGGAGAACTGCAGAATTGGCCTGATCTCTTACCAAAACTCTGTAGCCTGCTGGACTCTGAGGATTACAACACCTGTGAGGTAGCCTGTTCGCTTCTTACGCTTGTCTTTTCATAGCATGCATTAACCTTCAGGGAAGTACCTTTAAATAGACAACTTCAAAACACAGAAGCCTAAAGGTATCTTTGTAATTTTTATATTTGTTACTTTTATTGGTTTTCTGGAATTAATATAACAAAAATCTTCACTGTGTTTCCTATAAGGAAATATTTTGTCTGTCTAAAGTTATTTTTAAATGTTTCATGCATGTGATTCATAGCTGTTTTTATGTATAATCAATTAATTTTTTAATTTTATGGGTTGGCAGTGGTTTGCCTGCATGTGTGTATATGTTGTGCGTGTATGCCTGGTGCTCTCAAGGTCAGAAGTCACCAGATTCCCCTGAAACGAGTGACTGGTGTCTGAATTACTATGTGGGTGCTGAGAGCCAAGCCAGGGTCCCCTGCACAAGTGACAAGCATTCTTAATATTACTGGTGAGCCATTTCTCCAGCCCCCCATGAATGTCTTACATATTTAAAGGTAAACTGAAATTTTCCAAAATAGCTGACCATAAATTGCTTATAATTCCTCTAAATGATATACAATAAAAGACACGAGCATTTTCATATTTTTTTTGGTTGTGAGCCTAGCTTTTACCAGCTGAGCCATCGTTCCAGCCTGGCACAAAAATTTTAAATTATACATTAATTCTGACCTCTTGATTTTGTGTTTTAGTTTCCTGGGTTTTGGTGTGTGTGTGTGTGTGTGTGTGTGTGTGTGTGTGTGTGTGTGTGTGTGTGTGTGTGTGTGTGTGTGGTGTTGCTGCTGCTGCTATTTTAATTATTTATATATTGCTACTGGTAAAAATCTGTAAAACTATCACGTTGAAGAAATGAAGAAAATGTTTGGGTTTGTATTTTGAGACAGTCCTGTGGTGACCTTGATCTCTTCAACTCCTCATAGCTCCCAAAGGCTGGGATTGCAGACATAAGACACCATACATACCCTGTTGGAATTTCATTCCTATAGTTTCTTAGTGTTGATGAACATTGTAGTATTTGATTTTTCTAGCTAGCAGAATCAATCTTTCCTTCCTTCCTCCCTCCTTCCCTCCCACCTCCCCTCTCTTCCTTCCTCTTATGGGACAGAGTCTCACACTGTAACTCTGGGTGACCTAGAATGCCTAGAGATCCATCTCTCTTTGCAGTTGAGTAATAGGATGAAAGCTATGCTCCATGTGGGCAGAAACCTGTTTGTAGATGCTTCTACGGCATCACATGTTGGAGGTAGAAAAAAACAAGATGGCATCAGGTAGTTTTATGACTACCTGGCCTGTATCAAGTGGGAACGACCCCAGAGAGAAGAGAGACTTGGCAAACTAGTCTAAGTCACTCTTAAAGTATGTCTCAGGGTATGCTGCATCCCTGGGACACGCTGACAGAGGGTGAACTATACCTGTTGTAAAACTGTAAGGCACTGTGCAAAAGCAGGTAGGCTTTCTATATCTTTACACAATAATTCCTAAATGTTTGTTCTTAATGGTAATTTGGGGGGTGGGGTTTTTGGTTCTTTAAAGATTTATTCTTCTGCCTGGTGATGGTGGCACACACTTTAATCCCAACACTTGGGAAGCAGAAGCAGGTGGATTCTCAAGGACAGCCTGGGCTACACAGAGAAACCCACCGCCTCCAAATATATATATATATATTAATTATTACTTTGCTAGCCAGTTAGTTAAAATTTTCATTGCCACAACAGGAAACAAGTGTACATTTGATTTCAATCATTAGCTTTAAAAAATATTAGTTTGTAAAATTCTTGATATTCAAGTATAGCTATTGTAACATAGTTAAAACCTATACTGGCTAATACATGTTAAATCTAAGGTTGGCTTTATTTTTATATATATATATATATATATGTATGTATGTATATATATATACATACATATATATATATATAATTTTAAGTGTAAATTCCAAAATTTAAATTTTGAGGTATTATAAATTCTAAAAGAGACTTTTACAGTACTATCACCTTAAAAGACTGTCTTATGTCTTAGTGTTTCTATTTCTGTGAAAGACACCATGACCTCAGCAACTCTTATAAAGGAAAACATTTAATTGGGTTGGCTTACTTAGTTTCAGAGGTTTGGTCTATTGTCATGGCAGGACATGGCAGCACACAGGCAGATGTGGTGCTAGAGCTGAGAACCCTACATCTTGCAGGCCAACAGGAAGTCGACTGAGACACTGAGCATAGGAAATCTCAAAGTGCGCCCCCATGGAGTCACACTTCTTCCAGCAAGGCCAAACCCACTCCAACAAAGCCACACCTCATAATAGTGTCACTCCCTATGAGAATATAGGGGCCAGTAATATTTGAACTGCCACAAAGACTGCACCCTTTCTACTCCCCCCCCCCCAACCTTGAGACAGGGTTTCTTTGTATTGCTTTGGAGCCTGTCCTGTAGACCAGGCTGGCCTCAAACTCACAGAGATCTGTCTGCCTCTGCCTCCCGAGTGCTGGGATTAAAGGCGTGCACCACCAACACCCATCCCAAAGATTGTACCTTTTGTTAGCACTGTTATAAACTAAGTATACTGCAGCTGTGTATCAAGTTGTTGGTGATGGAAGCAGAAGGAGTAATTTACCTACTTAGTATGTTGTAGTATGTGCAAGAATTAACCTCTTGGTAAGAAAAATAATTGGGAGAAATAGTTGTCAAGATAAATCCCCTTGTCAGTTTCCCAATATATGGCTTGTTTTAAAAGTTACCATTAAGATATACCTTAAAATTAATGCATGTTACAGTGGTTAAATACATTCCTGTGGTGATTTTTTTTTTTTTTAGCATTTAATAAGAAAATTTTAATATGGACTTAAAATTGTTAAGAATATTTCAGTGGGATTAGACATTTTTTATTACATTCCAACTAACCAAAATATTTTCCAGTTTTAACTTACTTAATGCTAAAATTTATTTTGATACTCTGAATTAATTTGTTTTTAAGTTTTATAAAGCATGTGGGCCGAAAAAATAAATTCGTCTAAATTAGTATTCTATACATCTTGGGATCTTGCTTTGTTGAGATGGGGTCTTGCTGTATTGTCTAGACTGGTTTCAAACCAGTGAGTGATGTTCATACACATCTCAGCCTCCCAGGTGCTAGGGTTACAGATAATGTCCTACTGCACCTTCTCCATTTGTAGTAGTTTTCAGTGAACTCTGATGTTATAAATCTGTCTTTTACAGGGAGCATTTGGTGCCCTTCAGAAGATATGTGAAGATTCTGCCGAGATTTTGGATAGCGATGTTTTAGATCGCCCTCTCAACATCATGATTCCCAAATTTTTACAGTTTTTCAAGCACAGTAGTCCCAAAATAAGGTGTGTATGCAGCATTGTTGGTTTATAAGCCTGATAGACCATTACATTCTTTAAGAACAGAATTGTTTTTAAGTTAGCTGCCTTGTTACCTCCATATATATCTCCGTGTGTGTGTGTGTGTGTGTGTGTGTGTGTGTGTGTGTGTGTGTGTGTGTGTGTGTGTGTGTAATTAAAATTCTTCCAGTGCGATATGGAATACATGTGTCCATTGAGGCGAACAAGATTAGCTGATGTTTGAACTTTTAAACAAGATGTCCTCATTCTTGTCTGCTCCTCTTTAGGTCTAGGTCTACCTGTGATAGGTAAACTGACTGGATTGTAATGAAAACATGTTTTCATTGAGTTAACTGTTGTTACTTTAAAGGTTTTACATCTAATTGGGCGGGGGTGGGGAGTCATTTAAACAAGCACCACCCTTTTTGTAAGCCCTGAAATGACGTAGTAGACCTACATGGGAGCCCCCAAGTTAGACTGGGCTAGTGGTCTTTCTTCACCTTAAACAGCGCAGTTCCTACGCGATGCTGCCCTGCAGTGTTCAACTCTAATACTATGGGAAGCTGACTTGGCCTCATGAAGCTGATTGCCTTCAGTTCCCTAGCAAACTAATGGAAGTATGTGACGTCTCCTATACTTCCCTGAGCTGTTAGATTTGTTGGCTTTTATGTTTGTGTGTGATTGGTTGATTTTCTTAACTTGTTATTTTGGAACATATCGTTGTTTCTGTTAATTGTCAATTCCTTCTGATTATTTTTTTTATTTTGTTGCTGCCAATGCTTCATGTGTTTCCATAGAATAAACAGGTGTATATAAGTAGAAATCGTTGCCTAGAAATAATCACTCTCAGGTAAATGGACTTCATGGCAGACCATATATAGTTATTCATTGGGCCTCGGTTTTCTATCCCATGGGCTTGTTTCAACTGTATGACCAGAGACCTAACATGAATTTATGTCTTGATTTTACAAGTACAGCTCAGTTTCCATTTGGGCACTTTTCATCTTACACTGTATTGGTTTATGTTGTGCTTGGTGGAAATGTTTCAATGGATATTGGTCAGTAGTGTCATATGAAGTGTCCCCTTTAGAAGTAAGATACTGTCCTCATTCTTGTTTACTAGGTAGGGTTTATCCTCCATGGACTCTTCTCTGTCAACATTGTCGCCAAGTGATAGAGTGCTTATTTATAGCCTTCACTTCTAGAAATCTGTTTATATTTGTCTGTGCAGCTTTGATTGGCCTGGAGCTCCTTGTGTAGACCAGGCTGGCTAGAACTCAAAGAGATCCACCTGCCTCTGTCTCCTGAGTGGGAGTAAAGGTGTGTGCCTCCACACCTGCCCGTTTTTAATCAAGAATCTTTAATATCTACGAGTGTAGGCTTGTGCATGCACTTGCTGTAGTTGGTTCCCTTTCTACCTTGTGGCTCCTGAGGATTAAACTCAGATTGCCAGGCTTAGCAGTAGGCTCTTCTACCCCCTGACTCTCACAGAGAAGAACAACAGAACAATCCATAAAAGGTTTGATTTTTGTCCATGGTCATTTGATTAAGCTTTTAGGTAGAATTCAGCAACAGCGAAATGTTCCTTTAGTGAATCTCTGTTATTAGCCACTTCAAATAGTTTTATATGCAGTTTGCTTTTTTATGTTTTGGATGGGGGTAAATGGACTTACATATTTTAGTTGTTTTTAAAACCATCTTTATAGTTTTTTTTTTGTGTGTGTGTGTGTTATCTTTATGTAACATACTCACTTATGACATCTTATGTAGTTTAACACCTTTAATTCCAGGCAGAGACAGGCAGATCTTTGTGAGTTCAAGGACAGCCAGGGCTGTTGCACAGAGAAACCTTGTCTGGAAAGCAACAACGGAAACAAAAACAAAAGAATGCCTCACCTACCCCACTCTATGAACTGTGGGGAAAACAATGAAGCATTGCACTATAGTTTTGCATCTAAATCTCAGCATCGTCTATGTCTTTCATGTCTCTCTAAATAATTTTAGCATATTTGTAGGCAAATTATGTGCACGTTTGTTCTTGGTGTTATAAAAGTGATAGTGGTTTGTTCTTGGTGTTATAAAAGTGATAATGTACTAAGTGTTGTCTCTGATGACTTTATTTAGTTCTGCATTGCTAAGCTTTACCCATCTTGTATCACTCACTGACTCAGCTTTGACTATTGTATTAAAATCACCTTATACAGCAATTACACAGTTCATATCACACACATCCATGGCCTTTGGTGGCGTTTGGTTTTACTGCTGTGATGGTGGATAGTATTCTTTGGCTGCTGAGCTTTTCTAAGGAGGTACATCACGTGTACTTTTAGTACAATGTGTATTCTGTGGATACACACTGGCATTTTGTATTATCACGTTTTGCAGCTGTTGCCCCTTCCTGTAATTGAATTTTTCTTTGAGTCCCCAGCTCACAAAAAAACCAACATGGAAACAGACTTACTAATTACGAAAGCTCAGCTGATAGCTTAAGCTTGTTCCTAACTAGTTCTTACAACTTAAATTAACCCATATTTTTAAATTTGTTACTCTACATGCGTTACCCCATCTCCATTTTTCCCATCCTGCTTTCTCTCCATTTGATTGGCTACTCCAATTTTCTTCTCCTCAGAGTTCTCTGTCCAGATTCCCTGCTATACCTCCTGCCTAGCTATTGGCTGTTGAGCTTTTTATTAAACCAATCACAGTGATACATCTTCACACAGTGTAAAAGATTGTTCCACAATACCTCCTTTATATCTGTCCTTGCCCTTCTGTAGTCTTATACCTTGACGTGTTACGGAGTATGTGTGTATATAATTTACATCTGGGTTCTGCATCTGAGAAAGTATGTAGTGTCTTTCTGAATAAGGCTTATTTCATCTTAATGCGTCTCCATCTCTGCATTTCTGCGTGTGTCATCAGCTCACTCTTTACAGCTCTGTAAATAAATCTGCATTTTGTGTCCGCTTTTCTTTACCCTCCCATCTGCTGGTGGACGTCTAGGCTGGTTCCATCCCTTGGTGTTGTAATTGGTGCATCAGTGAACATGGATATGAAAATATCCGGACTTAGGGTCTTTTGTGTGTGTACCCAGGAATGGTACAGTAGCCTATATGGTCGTTCTGGTTTTAGTTTTTGGGGAAACTGCTGTTTCCACAGTTGCTGTTCCATCATCGGCAAAAGCAGTTCCTCTTTCTCAGTTTCCTGCCAGTATTTGTTATGTCATCTTTTTTTTTTTTTTTTTTCTTTTTATTCTAGCCACTCCAATGGATGTGAGATGAAATTTCAGTGGTAGTTTTAATTTACATTTCACTAATGCCTAAAGCTGTAGAACACCTTCAAATATTTATTGATCACTTTATATTTCTTTCAGAACTATCTGTTCAGTTCGGTATAGTGTTTGTTTTGAGACTTTGGGTTGCCATTAGGTTGAGTAACCACAGACAAGCTAGTTTATTTCTGGGCCCTGCATTGTATTCTGTGGGTGTTTTTGTATCAGCTTGGTACAGTTTCTGTTACTGTGATGCCAGTGTAATCTGAGGTCAGGTGCTGTGCTGTCTCCAGCACCGCTGTGTTTGGGGTTGTGTGACTATTGTGTCTGATTCTGTATGGGTTTTGAAGTGTGTTAGTAAGGTGGTGGTTTTCCTTAGAACTTTGCCTGCTGCTTCTTTGTTTTGTACTAACACTTTGACTACCATGTGGTCTATGAACAAGTTATTGATGTTAATGCAGGCATTGTTAAATGGTCTGTTTCTCTAGGTTTGAGAGGGTTTTTTCTGCAATGATTTGTTGACCAGGTTCTAGTCTATAAATTCTTAGGTTTGGTTTTTCGGTCATATTGGAGTTCTTCGACATTATAGTGGTCATGCTTTGTTTTTTCTTTGAAAAAACTTTACTGCTTGAGTCTAGTACTTCCTTGACCTTGTCTTTTCCTTTCACTTTTTTAAAAATAAGATTTATTTTTCAAAATCTCAGTTGACTTACTGGATTTCTCTTTGCTTTTTTAGCACATGACTGAGATTTTCGTCCATTTCACCCACTCCCTCTGTGCTGCTGGTTCTCCTCGGGGTGCTGCTTTGATTTCTTCCCTAATTCACTTGTGTTTGTGTCCTTTTGGGGGACATTGATCATTTTTTGCCATTAAACTTTGAAGTCTGGCATTGCACTGTCTGAATCCATCAGTGGAATTATGATCTTTGAGGGAGTCTTGTTGCTTCCCCATTCATATTTCTTGTGTTTCTATGTTGTAATTTGTATAACTCTTGGTTTAGATGCTTCTTCCCATTCTATTTATGGATCTTATTAGTAAGTCCTCTACTTTGGTGATTCAATCAGCTTCCAGTTCCACTTAGTGAGAGACAAATAAGCTGGGGGGTTTTGTTGTGTTTGTTTTGGTTTTTCGAGACAGGGTTTAACTGTGCTCCAGGCTGGCCTCGAACTCACAGAGATCCACATGCCTCTGCCTCTGTGTAAAGGTATGCACTACCACTGCCTGGCACAGATAAACTGTTATAGAAGCAGTGATGGCACACAGTACAAGAAAGGAACATACTCCACTTGTTAGTAGGAAGTGGGGGAAATGCAGTGTGTGTTTTGTGAAGTTAAGGAAATAGGAAATGTGGAAATATTAGGTGGGTCAGACAAAGGAGGCAGGGACAGGCAGGGAAGAAAAGGTCAGGTAAATGAAAGGGAAAGAACAGTGGAGATTAGGAAGGGGAAGAGAAAAGAACAGGCAGGTAAATGAAAATGATTCTCTAATAATGGAAATATATGAACAAGATAAAATGAAAGTGAGAAGAGGAATAAAAGGTAACAAAAGCTTTTTCAGAAAGAGTGGCAGCACACACCCTTAATTCCAACATTCAAAGAGGCAGGCAAGTCTTTGAGTTTAGGACCAGCTGGTCTACATAGTGAGTTCAGGACAGCCAGGGATACATGAGAAGCCTTATCTCAAGCAAATAAAATTTGCAAAGATGAATTTGCTGGTGTTGGAGAGATGGTTAAGCAGTTAAAAGACTATAGTATTACAGAGGACCTGAGTCAGATTCCTAGGACTCAAACCTATTAACATGTGACAACTCCGAGGGCACTTGCAGACCTACACACAGATACAGGCACATGATTGAAAAGTAACTGGGGGTAGCCGGGCAGTGGTGGTGTACACCTTTGTCCTAGCACTTGGGAGGAAGAGGCAGGTGGATCTCTGTGAGTTTGAATCCAGCCTGGTCTACAAGAGCTAGTTCCAGGACAGGTTCCAAAGCGTCACAGAGAAATCAATCCTGTCTCAAAGAACAGTAACTGAGAGTAGAGAGGTGGCCCAGTGTTTACAATTACTCATTGATCTTACAGAGGACCCAGGCTTGGTTCCTAACACCTCTTGGTGTTAGGCTAACAACCCCAGTTTCAGAGGTTCTGATGCCTTTTTTAGGCATATATGCAGGCAAAACATCTGTACTTACAACACACAAAAATTTTAATCTTTGAAAAAGTTCAAAATTCTACTAGAAGTTATATATTAGAAGAAAAAAGAACCAAGGCATTAAAAAGATTGATGGTGGGAATGCATAAACATTAAAGGTAGTAAAAAAAAAACACACAAAAAAGTAAATACTAAATGCAAAACAGAAAAGGAAGGGCACACTGGTGTGGAGCCTTACTTGGACCTTTGAAAACTGGAGCATGCCAGGGATGTGCAGTTGTGAGAACATCGTTTGTACTTGGGGGCTCTTGGCTTTCTTATAGCTTATTCTGGTCTTAAGCTTGTGTGTCTTGTCTTTGGTAGTTTCGCTTTGTTGCATGCCACGGTCCTCTGCTGGCCACACTTTATTCTGCAGACTGTGTACTGAGTGGTTCTCCCATCTTCCTGAGAGTGTGGGGAACATCCCTGCCACTGAGATATGCGTGGGTTGAATTCTTCCTACTTTTAAATCCCACCAAGTATTATTCACCCTGCTGGTGGGGTTGGGCTGTGGGTGTCAGGTAGTCCTGTGGAGCTTTGACGTTCGGAGTCCATGACAGATAGCTGGCTCCATGGTCGTTTGACCTCAAGCTAATGAGTTTAGCTTGTGAGCACCAAAGGCTAGATTGCCTTTGCCCATATACTTCTCTGCCAATACAGAGAGCCTCTGTCAGCATGAGGCCTCAATTGTTTCCTAGGGTTTTTCCTCATCCTGGGGCTATGGCAGGTTGAATTTAGGTCCCCCAACTTCAATTATTGCCTATGCTCAGGTCCCTAGGTTACCTCATTTTAAGCAGTAGGCTCCCTGTCAGCCCTCTGAGCCATTGAAAATTCCTTCCTACTGCTGATCTGTGCTGGCCTAGAGGGCATGAACTTAGCAGGGCCTGTGACTGGATTTGAGGTTGAGAGAAACTCCTCCTGTGGGTAGGTCTCACCTCTGCCTGTGTTATAGGCATCTTGTAACTGGAGCTATGTTTGGCTTTATCATATATTTTATATTACTATTTATTTTTGAAATTACATAATTTCTAATCTTTCCTGTTTCTCCCTTCAAGCCCTCCCATATATATTGTTCCTTGCTGTCTTTCAAATTTCATGGCCTCTCTTTTTTTCATAATCGTTGTTAAGGTCTTGTTGGTAAGACATTTAATAAGTGTAGCTTCTGACATTCTCAGGAGACACAATCTCACAACAAACTCCCTAACCCCCTGGATTCTACAGCTTTTCTGTCCTGCCCCTCTTCTGAAGGTTCCTTGAGCCTTAGGTTACAGGAATTGTTTATCGATGTGTCCATCCCTTGGGACAAGGCTCAACAACTGCATTTTACTTACTTGGCTGTGGTTTTCTGCGTGGTCCATGTCTGTTGAAAAGAGGTGTTTTCTTGATGAGGGTGCAGACTGCACCTTGTTTTGTGGGTGTAAGGACAAATATTTAGAATGTGGTTAGGGATTGTGCTCGCTTAGTTAAGTGCTGGGTAGAGCTTCTTTTTCAGGGTCCATGAATTCACTAGCCCTGATACTTGGCTGACTTGCTTCCTGATTCCCATATTGTTAGATAGGTTTTAAGTCCAATAAAGAGCTCTTGCTTGGATGCCACTACTGCACCCTTAATACAGTCATTGTGTCATGCTGGTTGCTGATAGGCATCATAGCTGGGTAGAACAGTTGGTTGCTCTGGGCAGCGGTGGTACACGCCTATAATCCCAGCATTTGGGAGGCTGAGGCAGGTAAGTTGAGTTTTAGGCTAGCCTGGTCTACAGAATGATTTCCTGGACAGCCAGAACTGTTATATAGAAAAACCTTGTCTTGGAAAACCAAAGAAAAAAGAAAATTTGTTTGTTGCTTCCCTGCTTTGAAAGCTTGCATGGTGCCGTCTGGTACCATGAAAGCTAACCCTTAAGAAGAAGGATATGGATCAGTTCCAGCTCAGGGGCCTCTGGGCCCTGTGTCTGAAATTCATGGTGTTTTCAGCAATAGGAACTTAACTTTTCACTCTGAGGGTCAGCCACAGGCAATAGCAGTAACCTATACTGTGGTTATTTTCTCCCCTTCCCTCCTCCTCTGTTTATCTCTCCCTCTATTGGTCCCCCATCCCCATATCCCTTTCTACTTTCCCGATTTCTCTCTGAGAGAGAACCTGATACATTTTTCTTTCTGTGTCTGGGTTATTTCACTCAGTAGGCCTTTTTCTAGTTCCACCCATTTACATGCAAAGTTTATGATTTCATTTTTCTTTATGGCTGACTAGTATCCTGTACAGTATATGTACCACATTCCCTAGCCATTATGAATAGAGTAGCAGTGAACTTGGCTGAACAAGTATGTGTGGGGCATGATGTTGAACCCTTTGGGCCTATACATGCCAAGTGATGCTATGACTGTGTCATGTCATGGGTTCTTTTCACCTTTTTGATAGTTCTCCAAAGCTGTTTTTGACTATACCAGTTTGCAATCCCATCAGCAGTGATTGAGGGTTCCCTTTTCTCCGTACAGCATTTGTTATAGAGTTTGTTGTTGTTGATTTTTGCCATTCTAACTGAGGTAAGATGAAATCGCAGAGACTAGGGACAATGAACTTTTTTTGTTTGGGGTTTTTTTGGGGGGGGGTTTGTTTGTGGGTTTTTTGTGGTGTGCTTTTTGTTTTGTGTTTAGATATTTATTAGCAGCTTGTTTTTTAAATTTTCCTAAGAACTGTTTAGGTCCTAGGCCCAGTTTGAGAATGGGTCTGGGGGGGGGGCAGCTGTTTATTGTTTGTTTGTTATGCATATGTTCTAGATCTAAAGTCAGATGCCTTGCTGGCCAAGATTTTCTCCTATTCTCTGGGTTTTCTCCTCACATGGCTGATGATGTTTCTTTATCTGTACAGAAGCTTATTAGATTTACAAAGTTCACTTGTCACTGATTGTTGGCCTTAATTTGGAGACAAGTTGAGTCCTACCTATTCAGGAAGTCCTTCCCCATGCCTGAGTCATTTTCGGGGTACTGCCTGGTTTCTCTTAGCAGCTCTACATGTAGGTCTTTGACACATTTGGTGTTAGTGTTTGCATGGTAATAGATACAGGTCTAATTTATTCTTCATCATGTGGACAACAGTTTTCCTAGCACTGTTTGTTGGAAATGCCTTCTCTCTAGCCTGTTTTTGGCTGAAGTCACATGTACTTATTTGGGTCTTTGGTTATTGTTTGAATGGTCTACATGTCTGGGTTTTGTTTGTTTGTTTAGGCCAAGTATTATTTGACCTAAACTATACATGCATTCCAAAATGGAAATTGGAATTAAAATATACTTTACTTTGCTTAAGTTTGCTCCGAGCTTACTAAACACTCATATACTTCTAAAGTAAGCACTTTTTTCCTTCAGTTTAAAAGTATTTTTATGGGAGAGAGACTGCATTGTAAAAGAAAAGGTATTATTTGAGTAAGTGCCATTTATATGTCAAGCAGATCTTATTCAGAGATTAATTAAATAAAAGTATATGGCTATGTGCTAGGAATATTCTGCCGTTGCTTTTTAAATGCTGGGGTCGCTGTTCACCTTTAGTTTTTGCTTTCTGTAACATTGACCTTCTTTGTTGACACATGGATTCTGACTTAGACTTTTAGTGGGTACATATGCCGTAATGTTTCTGGAGATGCACATTAAAGTTCTTGACTGCAGTGAGCATACATTAACGTGTAAACTTGGATTCTAGGTCTCATGCTGTTGCATGTGTCAACCAGTTCATCATCAGTCGGACTCAAGCACTTATGCTACACATTGATTCTTTCATTGAGGTGAGACTGCCCTGTAGCACTGCCCTGGGCTGCTGGTAATTACAGTGTAAAAATGTTACTGTTGCCGATGCTATTAAAATTGGGTACAGTGTCATGAGTTTTTCCTAGCTGAAAATTAAAGCTTTCTTTGTGTGTAGAACATTGGAGTGGTGATACAGACGCTGCTTATGGCAGAAGTACATGTAGTTCTGCTTACTAGCTTAAAGAGTTCTTCCTCAATATACCATTCAAATTGTATGTGCAAATTGATTTTCCCAACTCTTGAGTAATACTTAAAGAAAGTAAACACAGAACATTAAGACTGGATGAAGTTAACAATCCAAAAGTTACATACTGTGAAAGAACAGCTATGCAATCAATGAGCTTGCTGCGAACTGCATTGTTCAGTTGTGTAAGCGGCTTCAGTATACTGGCCAGACCATTTAGGCTTGACTTTGTGTTTTTACATTGCCTTCCTTTGTAAATGTAAATATTAATTCCTAAGTACCTTCTTGGGGGCATGAATGCAGAAAGAGTAAGATCATAATATCTGGCCATGATCAATAAGCAGTACAATTCCATTTCAGAATCTCTTACCTGATAACAGCAAGTATAAAAACTGAAATTTTAAGAAGGAGGGCTCATTTTATTTTCTCAATAACTTCTTTCCTGTTGTAGCATGGAGTAGAGGCAGCCTAGAGATGTAACTGAATATGTAGTTGAGAACAGCTTCCTTGTTTTTCTCAATCCTACATGCAGTTTCTAAAAGTAACAATTTTTTCTTCCCTTTTTTAAAAATCTCTTTCTCTGTATAGAATTTTTTTTTTTTTTTTTTTTTTTTTTGCCAAGTTGGGATTGGAGTTCAAGACAGGGTTTCTGTAGCCCTGACTGTCCTGGAACTTGCTCTATAGTCCAGGCTGGCTTTGAACTTGAAGGCCTCTACTGGCTGGTGCTTTGCCTCCTCTGTGCACCAGCATGCCCAGCCATGCAAAAGAACCTATAAGAAGCAATGGGTGCACAAGTCACAGACAGCTTTGAGTTCTCTCCTTCCTTGTTGAGTCTTTTGCTGGTACTACTTCTGTAGTCTCCAGGGTGTCTGGCCCTCAAACTTCCTAGCTTTCTCCTGCCCCTACCTCCAGCTCTCTATAGGAGTGTGGGGATTACAAATGTGTATTGCCACAGGCTCCCTCCCTCCCCCCCACAAAAAAAAAAAAGAAAAAGAAAAACAGCTGGGACGTGGTGGCACACGCCTTTAATCCCAGCACTCTGGAGACAGAGGCAGGTGGATCTCTGTGAGTTTGAGGCCAGTCTGGTCTACAGAGTTAAGTCCCAGGATGGCCAGGCCTATTATACAGAGAAACCCTATCCTGAAAAAAACATAACCAAACAAGCATTTTTACTCACTGAGCCAACTCTCAGCCCTTTTTGATGGTTCCCTCCCCCCTCCCCTTGACAGGGTTTCTCTATATAGCCCTAGCTATTCTGAAACTCGCTTCATAGACCAGGCCAGCCTCAAACTCACCAGATCCACCTCCTTTTGACCCCCAAGTACTGGGATTAAAAGTGTGTGCTACCACCCAGCTTCAGGATATAATCCTAATTCACTGAGTGTGCCTGTGTGTGGAGTTTGGGGTGACCTTGAACTCCTATTCACTCTACCTCTGTCTCCCAAGTGACAGAGTTACAGGCCAATTAGAGGGCACTAGCTACCATTCTTATCTTAAAGTTGGCTCACTCTTACAGTGAAAATTTGTTGATATGATCAAAAGTACCAATGTGGATCTAAGATTCCATGTAAGCCAGTTTCAAATCCCTTCTCTGTCTGGCGTGTTCTTTTACACCTACTAATGTTCACTTATTTATCTGTTGAAATGAGTAATATCTTAGTGATTGGATATATTAGTCTATTATCTATTCATCCTCCCCACACACACACACACACACACACACATTTGCATAAGATAGATTACCTTGACTACTGTTCACTTTCCTCTCTACTGGCTGTTACTTGACTTGTGAACAATAGCAGTTTAGGGTTAGGTTGTTAACCTGCTTGTTATTTACGTCTGCTGCTCCAGACAAGGGTGAACGTCTATCCCCAATGATATAGTTCCGTTGTTTGATTCCTTTGTTGGTTGCTTCTTTGAAAGGGGGTCTAAATGTATAGCCTAGACTGGCCTGGAACTCACTGTGTAACCATGGCTAGCTGTGAACTTCTGCCTTAGTTTCAGTGCTAGGAGTGCACACCCACAATTTAAAGTAAAACTGAGGGGCTGGAAAGATAGTTCAGTGGTTAAGAACACTGAATGTTCTACCAGAGGACCCAGGTTCAATTCCCAGCATCCACATGGCAGCACACAAGTGTCTATAAAACTCCAGTTCCAGGGGAACTGACGGACACACATGCAGACAAAATATTAATGCTCATAAAATAAAAATAAATCATTGAAAATGTTTTTAGCATAACTGAGCAGCTGATGGCTCAGTCTGTAAAGTGTTTGCTGTGCAAGCATGAGGGCTTGAGCTCAGATCCCCAGCACTCAGCATAAAAAGTCAGGCATGGCATTACACGCCTGTAACCCCAGCACTGGGTGGGTTAGAACTGGTAGGCTTCCGATTCAGTGAGTGATCTTACCTAATTTTTGAAAAATAATAATGTATAGATTGGCTGTGGGATACCTTTCTGCACACACATGTTCTTATGTACATCACTCACATGAACGTGCATTATCCACACACACAAACCATAACTGAATGTAGTCTTATCATTAAGAACCGGCATTTTAGGCCTGGTGAGATGGCTCAGTGGTTAAGAGCAGTACCAGTCATCTAGAGAACCTGAGTTCAATTCCCAATACCGCATCAGGTGACCCACAACCATTTACAATTCCAGCTCCAAGGGATGAAATCCTCTTGACCTCTATGGGCACCTGTACATATGTGCACCACTTCTCCCCACATACACATGATCAAGACATAATTTTTAAATGGCTTTTTAGCCTGATACTGGGGTGCACATCTTTAATCCCAGCACTTGGGAGGCAGAGACGGGTGGTTCTCTGTGAGTTCCAGAACGGCCTCCTCTACATAGGGAAATCCAGGACAGCCAGCAATATACAGAGAGACTCTATCTCAGAAAAATCACAAAGGAAAATAGAACGACTTTTTATCTTTATGTCACAATCATGATCCTTGGTAGCTGCCACTTCACAGTTAGTTTGTTGTCTGTTTTATCGTCACTTGTTGGTGAGGCAATTCTGGAGTTGGTAATGTTAGATTTTTGAAACAAAGTCTTGGGTGTCCCATTCTGGCCTTGGACTTTGAGATCTTCCTGCCTTCAGCAGTCAAGTGCTATATGTTTGGTCTTAATTCAGTCTTTTTGTGCTCCGTTACTTTATCATTTCTGTTAAGTGTAACCCTTTCTCATCTGTTGGGCATTTTAAAGTAGGGATAAAAACGTGTTTCTTGTACACCAGAACCTCTTTGCGCTGGCTGGTGATGAGGAAGCTGAAGTGCGGAAAAACGTGTGCCGGGCGCTTGTGATGCTGCTTGAAGTCCGGATGGATCGCCTGCTTCCCCATATGCATAACATAGTCGAGGTAACCCAGGCAATGCAGACTCTGGCCTCATTTCTTCCCCCAACAGAAGTGTTTGGCATAAAATGTAATAACTGTAATAATGTAAAGATAGAGTTTTCTAATTTATGTAATACCTTTGAGGGGAGGGACACAAACAATATAGATACGGTTGTCTTTAAATTGTAAATCCTCTTGGTGATTTTTATTTTGTGAGATTTAAGATGTTATGGGAGAATTTTAGTAAACATCAAGATAGGTTTTAATCGTCATAACTAGGAAATTCTCATTAAACATGGTATAGATCAAGTTATGGGTATTTGGGAATATTAGGTGACATTCTCAGATTGCTGGAAAATAGAATTTAAAAATTGAGTTTGCTTCACAACAAGATTCGTTTGATTTAGGCAACGTTCAGTACTGTTAGAGTCGAGCTTTCCCATCTGACTTCATACTGCTGGGTGAATCACATTCATTTATTAGATGGTTTTCCAGGTGCTTTAAGCAGTGTATTGTCCAGAGCCTGGCCTGTGTTTCCATCTGTGTCTTGTTTGGTGAGTTACAGTGTGTTGGACTCTGGAGAGTTAGCACAGTAGTGAAGAGAGCTTATTGCTCTTGAAGAGGTCAAGGTCCCATCCCTAGCTCTTGGAAGCTCACAGCTGCTGGTAATCCCAGTTCAGAGAGAGCACTCCCTCTCCTGACTTCAGTGGGCACTTCATGCTCAAGGTGCACACGTACAGACCCACACAGTGCAAGTTAGGGGAAATGCTGCCATTCTCAGTGTGTAGCATCTTCTGTTGTCAGAAGTATAGAAACGGTGTCTTGAGTGTGTCTGTGAAGTCAGCTATGATTGAAGTTAATCAGAAAGTTTAAAATTTTACTCATGTGGAGAACCTAATTTTAATGTAGTATTTTATTCAGCAGTATTTGAAGACAGGTATTGACATGTAATGGAGTAGAACAGGCCTATGACGGTTGCCGTGCAGTGTTTTAGTCCGGGAGAGGGTGTACTAGAACTTTGTTGATTGACTTTGACTCGAGTCCCAGGTATACATAAGTAAATTCAGCTTGGTTATGTTCGGAGGACATGATAAAAACAAACACCTTGCTGAAACTACAAGTTGTAGTTAAGGAGCTAGGTGTGGTGTGGTGATGCACACCTATAATCCCCTCACTTAGGAGGCAGGAGGATCCTAAGTGTGAGGCTGTGTGGGCTTCATGGTGAGCTCCAGGCCAGTCTGGAAGCCGTGCTGATCCACGCTGTCTCCAGAAGACAAAAACATAATACATTATTTTTTTTCTCTGATTGACATCAACATGTCAGAAAAGTTAGCAGTTTCCCTCTGTACTGCTGCACAGAAGCAGACTGATAGTGCGTACAGATGAGAACTTCATTCTTAAGGAGAGGTTTGTAAGTCTTGGTCTTGTTTTAAAGGCACATAGGGAGCTTTAAAAGTGAGAGGAGTACAGGTCGGAACCATGATTTGCAGAGTAGTATCAGGACTAAATCACTACTTACTGTCCAGGATGAGCTGATGAGTCATATGGATTCCCTTCACAGTACATGCTGCAACGGACCCAAGACCAAGATGAGAACGTGGCTTTGGAGGCCTGTGAATTCTGGCTGACCTTGGCCGAACAGCCAATATGCAAAGATGTACTTGTAAGGCATTTGCCTAAGTAAGTGTCCCTGCTTTCAAGTGCCGTCCTCAGCACACGCCTACTCAAAATGCTGTCTCTCTCCATAGAGGGAGCTTCTGAAGAAGTCAGACTTCATTATTGATATGAATAGATTTCCAGGATTGCCTTTTTGTAAACTATATGAAAATAGTTTGTTCATGTTTTGGGGGTGGATGCTCAGGTGCCAAAATAGGCACGTAGAAATCAAAGGCCAAACCCTACCTAGACAAATAAGCATAACTGCAGTGTTTAGTTACTATTGGTCTTCTGATTTGGAACTTTTGAGCATGAAGGTTTGGCTGGCTGATATTTCTTAAACCTGTCCCATTCATATTCCTTGAGTTAATAAAGGAGCAGCGATGTATTGCTGGAGATGCTCAAGGACTATATTGCCACTGTTACCATTGGTTTAATTAGTGTACATATTAAAACTCTGGATCTTTAGAGCTTTGTTTAATTAATCCTCTCTAGGTTGATTCCTGTGTTAGTGAATGGCATGAAGTACTCAGATATAGACATTATCCTGCTTAAGGTAAGGAAACCGTTCTCCGATTAGGGAAGATAATATGTATATGATAATAAAGTTTTGAATTTGATGCTAGGACATTTCAGATAGACCCTGTGTAAAGACTTCCTGTTACCTATAATTGGCTACAGGTGTTCAAAGTAGAACAAGAGTGATGAAGTTTCATGGTAGCATGTACCTTAATTGATAGCGACATTGGGGTTTTCCTTAGTTTACCTTTGACCAAAGCTATTTGGGGTTTATTTTACTTTATTTTTAGTTTGTAATTTATTTTACTTGTTAAGACCCTCTTGTTCTCTCTGGGTTTATTTTAAGTACACTGATATGAATTTGAGTTGGGTTACTCTTATTGCACCAACTTATAGGTGAAAGGGCCTATAACCTAGCAAGTGTCATATACCTTATTGTCCCTTTCCCAGGGACATGTTTACTACAGAGGGGAGTAGTTTTTCTCTCAGAAAGGACACTCTGGAATCCTGTGCATGGCCCATATGAAGTTCTGGTTCCTTTACTTTATGTGGGTTTTAATGGTCTAGAGTAGCCACAGAACTCTTCTCTTTAAATGACAGGGTGATGTGGAAGAGGACGAAACAATTCCTGACAGTGAGCAGGACATAAGGCCACGGTTTCATCGCTCAAGGACAGTGGCTCAGCAGCATGAAGAGGATGGAATTGAAGAGGAAGATGACGACGATGATGAAATTGATGATGATGATACAATTTCTGACTGGAATCTGAGTAAGTCAGATAGGTAGAGCATGGTTGCTAACTTGGATAAATTCTATTGTTGGTGTGTGGTCCTGTTCTTAGGAAGCTGAAGAGGAAGCTCCCAAGCCTGATGTCAGCCTGACTATGTACTGAGTTTTATTTGTAAATCTGTCCAGTCATCACCATGATCGCTAATGTGGGATATTTTTGTCACGTCCATCTGCACCAGCCTTCAGACTGTGACTTCCTAGAATTTGCGGGCTTACAAATGGCCCTCCTCCCTCCCTCCTAACCAGTTTTTACTTGCCATCCTTGTTGTAGCATGTACACATAGTTTTTTCCTGTACTCTATTATTTTTACTTGCATCAATTGGTGGTAATTTTGTGGGAAGTAATAATGATCCATGAAGATTCGTGTGCAGGTTTTTGTGTGGACGTGGATCTGTTGTGTCCAACCTAAGGTTGCTGGGTCAAGATACTGCAGCCACCAGCATGATTTTACATGGTGGCTGCACCATTTTTACCTTCACACCAGTTGCGTGGCTGTTGTTTCTCGCATTTTTATCACTTGTTCTATTGCCAATCTAATGAATGTGACTAGGAATCTTTGATTTTAATTTGCTTTAGAGCATGCTCTTATATTTAATAATCATATTCATCTTCTTTGTTGGTTTTTGTTGCTGTTTTGTTTTGTTTTGCTTTCGTTTTCCATATTCAGAGTCTTACTATGTAGCCCTGGCTGGTCTGAAGCTCATATAGACCAGGCTGGCCTCGATTTTACCAATCTATCCGCCTCTGCTTCATGAGTGCAAAGATTACAGGCATGCGCTATTCTATGCTCTATGTATCATTACATTTCTTTAAAGACTTTTTCTGTTTTCCCAACAAGTTTTTGTATGTTGATATAATTGTCATTAAGAATAGGGAGCTTCTTGTCTTGGCTTTATCATATTCAAAACTTGCACAGCATATATTTTTTATATATATAATTCTGTTAGCCAGTTACTTATCAGCTAGCTTGTCTTAATTATTAACCCATTTCACGTGGTCTTACGTGGTCTTCTTACCGGGGAAAGGGGCCAGCGTCTTGTTTCCCCAGTCTCTCCATCTTGACTCGCACAGCATATATTTTATAAAGTCCATTGATTTCCCGCCTCCCTCACTCATCACCTATGAAACTGGCATTCTGACCCACATTCTTTTTCAGTTTTAAGTTTTTGTTATTGTTGTTTGGCTTGGGTGCTCCGTCTTCTGTCTATACGTCAAGTAACTGGTGCCAGAGGAAGCCGGAAGAGGGCATCGGAGCCCCTGAAACTGCAGTTATGGATGGTTATGAGCTACCATATGAGTACTGGGAATTGAACTCCAGTCCTCTGCAAGAGCAGCAAACTTTCCTATCTGCTGAGCCATCTCTCTAACCCCTTGGCCCACACTCTTAACAGAAGAGTAACAGCTTGATTGCTTGCCTTGGATTTTCCCCTCCTCCAGCCATAGATTAGAACATGGCCATGTTTTCTGAAAAGTGGTTCTGGTTTCACAAAGTAAATGATTGGCTCTACATGTCAAGGAAGGCTCATGCTGCTACCCGACCTTAGGTACAACTGTGGTGCTGTTTAGTTCCTTGATAAAAAGGAACCACAGGGTGGATCTCATTCATCAAGGACCTCAGCACATGGCTCTCCTGTTTTTTTGCTTGCTAGCTGGTTTTGAACCTCTGCTGCTCTAGGTCAGGGTTTCCACCCTGGACATTAATGACATTTGGGGTTCACATAATTTCATTTTTGTGAGAATTGTTCTATATACTATAATATACTAATGATGTACATACAAGTTACGACAATTGACAGTGTTTCCGTACCTTATTAAATACCCCTGCAATAAAATATCCTGGTAAGGCACCACCCCTTATTATTTTCCAAGTGTTGAAATTTCTAATAACTTCATGATTATCTTGCAATGTGTGTCATCCTGGACCACATAATTGATGATTCTGCCTGTTTAATTTCTTACATCTAACTTTTTACGTAAGAATGTCTAATTTGCTATGCACTTTGCCAAAGACTTCCTTCATATACATATCATTCTAGCAACCTTAGGAAGGGAATGGCTAAATGAAGTTACCATAGATACATGGTACTGATAGCAAGTTTCATTCAGCAAGTGACCACATCCCATTTTTATACTCTGCCGGAAGCTCTTTGCACATATGGAAAATTCCTAATCGAGCCTTTTAGGAGTAAAACCAGATTTCCAAAATGGACACCAGATTGCATTACTTGCTGCTCTTTCTGTGTATGTTCAGTACATAGAAATTTTCTTTTGTTGTTTATCAGTGTGCTATTCCGTTGTACAAAGCTATCATATGTATGAAAACTAAAACCTTTTCTAATAGATGAAGTGTTTCTTGTAGGCAACTTCAACAGCTTTTACTGTTGTACAAAATTTTGCTATTGACTGAAGTTTGATCATCTATTTGCTATATCTAGCTTACATTGGATGGAAAAAATTAAACTTTATAATTTTATTATCTTGTTAATGAAATCTTAGCTGTGTTGGAGTACTGTGGTTTTATAAAGAATTATTCTACCATATTGAATGTGGTACTGACTTTTGTTCCAATTTATGTTGTTAAATAAGAAATTATATACTTAACTGAGCCCCGCGGTGGTGGTGGTGGTGCACACCTTAAATCCCAGCACTCAGGAGGCAGAAGCAGGCAGATCTCTGTGAGTTCGATACCAGCCTGGTCCAGGACAGCCAGGGGTACTCTTGGGGGAAAGATGGGGGGGGTGGGGGACTAGAGAGATGGCTCAGTGGTTAAGAGCACTAGCTGCTCTTCCAGAGGTCCTGAGTTCAATTCCCAGCAACCACATGACAGCTCACAACCATCTGAAATGAGATCTGATGTCTTTTTCTGGCCTGTAGGCATACATGCAGGCAGAACACTGTATACATAATAAGTAAATCTTTTAGAAAGAAAGAAATGGTAAATAGAACTAAGCTGGTGTTTTTGAGATGTAGCCCTTGCTAGCCTGGAACTCAGTGTTGAACTGGCTGGCCTCTGAAAGATCTGTCCCTGAGTGCTGGGATTGAAAGTATATGCTACTACAGGCCTGGCCCTGAGTAGAACTCAGTTTTAAATATGACTTTTTTTTTGGGGGGGGGGGTCTGTTTGTTTGCTTAATGATACCCATGGCATTCTGAAAGCATTGGGTTTATAGAACATTAGATTTTTCTAGAAAGATAGAAGAATCTGTAATCGGATACAGAATAAAGTATCTTAATAACTTTGCTAATTTTGTCACTTTGTTTCCTAAGGAAAGTGTTCCGCTGCTGCTCTAGATGTTCTCGCAAATGTTTATCGTGATGAGCTCTTGCCACACATTTTGCCACTTTTGAAAGAATTGCTTTTCCACCATGAATGGGTTGTTAAAGAATCAGGCATCTTGGTTTTAGGAGCAATTGCTGAAGGTAAGTCCAGCTTGAATTACAAGTTCTTAATAGATATTAACAAGGCTAGGTTACTTTAAGGAATTTTTAACTTAGCAAGTGGAGACTTCACTCTGAATTCACATACTACATGGCTCCGGGACAAGGCCAATATGTAGTAGACAGGACTATGTCCCATACAGAACTGAAAAGAGATGATTGAATTCAGAAGCCACCTTAAAGTAAACGTCTGCTAGGCGCCACTTTGTTCTTATAAACAGTCGCAGGCATCCTAGCCATATGTTCTGCAGGTTTTTTTGTTATAGTAAAGGAAATTTTGTTTAAAGAAAGAAATCTGATGTCTGCGGGCTGTTGCTCAGAAAATAGCTTTATTTATTCCCCAGGGAAATCTAGGAAACTTGGTAAGACTAGTGTCATCATCCTCTAAAGGATTGAGGTGTTTGTTTGTCTTTTGTTTGTCCCGTCTTAGCTGTAAATATCTACCTCAAAACATTTTGTGGGCGTCTTTGCAAACCAGAATTTTCATGACAAAAAGAATTAAAATTTTAACCTCTTATAAGACACCTAGGAACAGTTAACTCTGATTTGTTATTTTAAATACTTTGGTATCACTTTTCAGTTTGTAGCACTGGAAATGTATTACATTTTTATTTCTGGGTGCCTGTGTCTTTTCAGTATACAGTTGAGTTTAGCACTTTCTTGAAAGATTGCTGTTGTTTCCTAGGTTGCATGCAGGGCATGATTCCATACCTGCCCGAGCTCATTCCTCACCTTATTCAGTGCCTCTCTGACAAAAAGGCTCTCGTGCGTTCCATCACCTGCTGGACTCTTAGCCGCTATGCACACTGGGTAGTCAGCCAGCCACCAGATACATACCTGAAGCCATTAATGACAGAATTGCTGAAGCGTATCCTGGACAGCAACAAGAGAGTACAAGAAGCCGCTTGCAGGTGGGACGGATTTCTAACAGTGTTCATTGTGAAAGTGAGAGCCTTGTTTTGAACCAATAGTGGAATGTTGACATTAAACCATTAATGGAGTTTTTATAACACACAATGTTGCCATTTTGATTGGAAATTTAGTTTTATATCTCTGGGATGTTTATGCATTACCATATTTTAACATATTTTTTGACTAGGAAATATTTTTACTAATGGTTTTGTTAAACAAAATGTGACCTAGCTAAGCATAAGCCTTTGCTTCTTTCTCATTCTGTCAACTAAAGTATGGATTCTCACAGAAATAACAATTGTAGCTATATCTTCAGTCTAAAGATCCACTGCCATAACAAGACAGAATGTCCTGTGGACTTTTGGTGTATATGCAGTAATGTATGCCTAGTGAATCTGTGCGAGAAGCTGTTCTGTTGGATTTAGGGCACTCAACTTGCCTTCATTTCTGCTCCTGGAGAAAAGAGACCTGGCATTAAATTTAAAACTCTAAATTGCTTCTACCGTTGACCCTTAATGTGTGTTTAGGGATCAAACCTCAGATGCTCAGCACATGCCAGACAAGCACTCAGCCAACTTATCTTTGAGTGTTCCTGCAAGTATGTGTGTGTTCATGGGTTTGAGACAGGATCTTTCATTAGCCTAGGACTTGCCTACTAGGCCAGGCTGGCTTACCAAATGCATTCCCAGCTCTGGAATCGCAAGCAATCACTAATATACCTGGTTTTGTTTTTTGTTTTAAATCTAGGTTCATTCCCAGCACTCTGACAATATGAATAATAAACACCAAATAAACTTATTGGATGAATAAATACAAGGGTCAGAAGACTTAATGGTTTTAGATCTCAGCACTGTAGTATATTAAGAAATGGGGAACCAGGCAATGATGGTGCATGCCTTTAATCTCAGCACTTGGAAGGCAGAGGCAGGCAGGTCTCTGAATTTGAGGTCAACTTGGCCTACAGAGTAAAACTCCAGGATAGCCAGGGTGGGCGGGCGGGCTGTCTGTCTATCTGTCTGTCTTTTTTTTTTTTTTTTTGAAGAGACTGGAGAGATGGCTCTGTACTTAAGAACACTTAAAGGTTCAGTTTCTGGCAGCACATGACAGTTCACCACCATCTGGAAGTCTATTTTAGGGAATTAGATGCTCATTTTGATCTTCGAGGGCTCCTGTGTGCACATGGTGCACATACACTCAGGTGTATACACATGAAATAATTTTGTGAGAAATGAAAGCATGTACAGTGAGGCAAGGAGATATGCGTGGGTGTAACATATAATCTACAAACAAGAGACTTCATTTCTTATGTTTCTCTTTTTCATTGTAGTGCCTTCGCTACCTTAGAAGAGGAGGCTTGTACAGAGCTTGTCCCGTACCTTGCTTATATACTCGATACCCTCGTCTTCGCCTTCAGTAAATACCAGCATAAGAACCTGCTCATTCTGTATGATGCCATAGGGACACTAGCAGATTCAGTGGGACATCATTTAAACAAGCCAGTAAGGATCTGAGGATGACTGCTATGGGAACATTACAATAAGCTGCAATAAATACTTAGTGTGTGTTTCCAAGTGAAAAGTCTGAGAAGTGTGAACAGTTAGGTTTTGCTACTTTGAGAATATAAATCTTAACAAAGGTGTTGCAGTTGAAGTAAGCTTATGGTTAGTGTAGAAATTAGTAATAACATCTTATGAATACACTTTTAAAGTGTCTGGAGGAAAAGGGATAAAAAAAGACTTGTGCCCTGAATTTCTACATTTACCTAGCTCCACTTAAGCATCATTTAACACTGACTTCAAAGCTGCCATGTCTAGACTTGCTACTTTCTCTTCAGAGTATATTGGGCATTAGGAGTCTACTATAGAAAAGTTAGAATGGGCATGGTAGATTGAAAATGCTGAAGTGCAGTACAAAGTGTCTTGTCTGTCGTCATCGTGTAGAATAGGAAGTGAGGGTTTGAAAATAATGCTTTAAAATTTTTAAGATAGCTCAGTGTCCCTGCTGAAAACTATTTCATCAGATACATGGGCCCTGTAGGATGAGCCTTAACTCACTCTTGCTTTTAAATTACTCTCAAGGTAGGCGCCAGTCTGTAGGTCTGCTTTGGTATTGGGTAATTTGCTTAGTTGAGGGGTAGGTTGTGCTTTACAGCCCATACCTCTTGTGTCATTACTGTACTATAAAGCAGTAGCCATTATATTAGAGGCCACCGCCAGTCCTTCCCCACCCCCCAAATAGTCTGACCACTTGGGAGTAAAACCTGTGATTTAACAAGCTGTGGGTTGTGCTGGGTCTGGTGACACACACTTTTAGTCCCAGCACTTGGAAGGCAGAGGTAAATTGAAAATTGATCTCTGACTTTGAGGTCAGCTTTGACTGTAACAGTGAATTCTAGGCCAGCCAGGGCTGCATAGTGAGACTGTCTTAAAAAATAAAAAGGAAAAAGAAACCCAGGTAGTAGATTTTAATGGAATGAGATACTTACACATTTTCTTTCAGAAAATATGTAAGATTACTTTAAATCAGGGTCATATGAATTAAAAAGTGGAGCCAGAGTAGAAAAAAATTGATGGGACGGGAACTGTAAAGTGAAGAATGGGTCTTAAAATAGGTGTGTAAAGGGTTAGTACAATTGTTCCAGATGGGCTTTAGTTTTTATAAACTCAGAATGAACTAACTTGTTTACAGGTGATAGTGAAGCTTTGTGTTTTTTTTTTTTTTTTTTCATCTCTGTAAACAGGAGTACATTCAGATGCTAATGCCTCCTCTGATCCAAAAATGGAACATGTTAAAGGATGAAGACAAAGATCTCTTCCCTTTACTTGAGGTATGCTGAGCTGGTGATGTTGATTTATTCCAACTATGTGATTCCATGACAAACGTGGTGTGTATATGGTAGACCATCGGTAAATTGTTTCTCAGAACAGTTTCTGTTGAAATGCTGAATAGGCACATAACTTGTTTTTGTAGAATTTTAAAATTTATTCTTTTACAATTTCATGCATGTATAGAACATATCTTGGTTATATTTTGCCCAAATTTCCTTTCCTGCTCTTAAAACTGTACCACTATGCATCCCTCCCATTTACATGGCGGTGGTTTTGTTTTAAGATGAGGTCTCACTCTGTAGCCCTGGCTGTCCTGAAACTCATTGAGCTGGTCTTACACTCATAGAGATCCTCCTATTTCTGTCTCCCAGGTGCTGGAATTAAAGGAGTACATCATTTGATTTGTTTCTCTCTCTCTCTCTTTTAAATAACCTACTAAGTCCAAATATCATTGTTTGTATGTAAGCCTATGAATATAGGACATCTACCAGAGCAACCTACTAGCAGCCACACCCTTAAAGAAAAATTACTATTCTGTAGTTCAGTAGCTGTCTGTTACCAACCAATAGCTGCTAGGGTTGGACTTCACAAGCCCCTCTCCCATCTGTCCTGGAATATTGGCCAGCTTGATCTTGTGCTACCGTGAGTTGATGAGTGCATTGGCCTTGTCAGAACCAGAAGCCAGCATTTCATAGCACTCCTCACCCTCCAGCTTTTGTCTTATTTCTCAGCTCTTGACTACTTCCCAATGCAAAAAGAAGCTTCTCTGACTAAGTTAAGCTTAAGTTTAATCTTTGTAAGTATAAACATTTAGAAGGTAGTTTGACAACATATCCACTTAGCAAAAACAACAGTAATTGCACTCTAAAGGTCAGTGGCCACCTTAACCATGAACCTTTGACCAAGTTTACAGTATCAAGTATGAAGTCTCTCCTGTGGAACAGACTTTTTATTAAATTACAGAGTGGTTGGTTGCTCCATAATAGTCATGCCACTATCACACTATAGGCAGACACACTTCAAAAATCTGTTCTCATGCTTAAGTTGTATGGCGTTTGTGTATAACATATACATATCCTATACACCCTCAGAATAAGTCACATCTGAATTACTTATAATACCCAACACAGTGTAAGTTATTTTCTGATTGACTAACAAAACAAATAAGGTTTGAAAGGATAAACCTGCTGTGATAGCATCAGAACAGGTTCATAAATGACTGAGACCTTTTTTTGCTTAGCTTAAAGCACTTACGGTCTTTTCTATAATCTGAAAACTCAGTGTGTGTGATTGATTCTTTCTAGTGCCTCTCATCTGTTGCCACAGCCTTGCAGTCTGGCTTCCTTCCATATTGTGAACCTGTGTATCAGCGTTGTGTAAATCTAGTACAGAAGACTCTAGCACAAGCTATGGTATGTGTTGTATGTATGTATGTGCATATACATTACTTTTAATACATTAATTTTCCTGACAATCATAATTTTAGAGATAGGTCTAATATTATACACACTTTTTGATCTGCAACAATAAAGACAATGTGTTTAATTTCAGCTAAACAATGCTCAACCAGAACAATATGAAGCTCCAGATAAAGATTTCATGATTGTGGCTCTTGACTTACTTAGTGGCCTAGCTGAGGGGCTGGGAGGCAACATCGAGCAGCTAGTAGCCCGAAGTAACATCCTAACACTAATGTATCAATGCATGCAGGTAAGACTTCTAAGGGTGGATGGTTTGGAACCTGCTTCTTTGTGTTACAAGAAGTTAATTTCTTCGTTTCTTGTAGGATAAAATGCCAGAAGTTCGGCAGAGTTCTTTCGCCTTACTCGGTGATCTGACTAAAGCTTGCTTTCAACATGTTAAGCCTTGTATAGGTATGAATGTTTTCTGCTTTGGGTGTGGGTACCCTATCTGTCTTAATTGTTATATTTTATTAAAAACAAATTTCACAGAACTCCAACATAACAATCTAGTTTGATAGAAATATGCTTTTTTTTTTTTTCCTCTCTCTTCTCATTGCGTAGCTCTTGCTGGCCTAGAACTTAAAAGAGCTGCCTCTGCCTCCCAGTGCTGGGATTAAAGGTGTGTGGACCTTTAGGTAGGACTATGCTTTTGAATCAACTATATTTCTGCACTTTAAGTCATGCCAGCTATGGTGTGTTGTTGTTAAGCTTTTGGTTTAGTGCTCTCTATTATATGTAAATACAAATTTTGGTTGTTTTGTTTTTTGAGACAGGGTTTCACTGTGTAACAGTCCTGGCTATCCTGGAACTCACTCTGTAGACCAGGCTATCCTCAAACTCAGAGAACTGCCTTCCTCTGCCTCCTGAGTGTTAGGATTAAATGCATGTGCCACGATTTCCAGTTTCTAAATTATAAAACATTCTTATGAGAAGCTGCTTATATAACTGTGTAACAAAGCTCTGTTGTCCACACATGTTAAAACATGTTTCCCATTGTTGCTGTCCACAGACACAAAGACCATGGGTATTTTTAAACTCAGTATTTCAGAACTTATATCTCTGAGTCTCTTTCTTGTAAATTGTTTTTCATTGTTAAAAGGATCCAAGGTTTTGTCTTGAGCTTACTGATGTTCTTAGTGTACTGACAGCACCTCTGGTGTTACTTAACATACCTGCCATTCCTTGGTAGTTATCATAAATTAGTAGTCAGGTCTGGAAGCTAAGGGTCAGTTCAATTCCAGGGTTTGGAGTGAAGATTAGTAGGGGTTTGCATTCTGTTTAGCACAGGTTAGTGTCTCTGGTATTAGTGGGTATAGGCACACACATTCAGACAAAACTCCCATGTGCATAGAAGATAAAAGTAGATGGGGTGGGGAGCTGCTCCCTGGGTATACTTAACCTCATGTGGAATTAGCTCAGTAGCTGGCATTACCTCATGTAGTTTAAAATCAGTTTCAGTATTGACACTATAGTGTTTATGATGAAATTATTTTTGTCTGGATTTCAGTTTCTATCTAGTAGATTTCCTTTAAAAGTATGACATCTGCTGTTGACAAGTTTATTACATAGTCTCATTTTATTATTTTGTTGTTATTTTTGTTTTTCCTAGCTGATTTCATGCCAATATTGGGAACAAATCTGAATCCAGAGTTTATTTCAGTCTGCAACAATGCCACCTGGGCAATTGGGGAAATATCGATTCAAATGGGTAAGGTTTTTTTACCTTTGAACTGTATGCATTTATAGGTACCTTGATCATTTCCATCACTGTTCTGTTTGTCTTTAATTTTTTAAGATTCTGATAGTGGCGGGAAGGAGAAAGTCTGACATGTCACGTTATGAAGTAAGGAAAATGTTTTGTGATGATTTCTTGATGTTGATTTTTTTTTTTTTTTTTCTTGTTCTCTCTTTCTGTGTATGAACTAGGTATAGAGATGCAGCCTTATATTCCTATGGTGTTACACCAGCTGGTAGAGATCATTAACAGACCCAACACACCAAAGACGCTGTTAGAGAACACAGGTACCATGTGACTGAAATGTTTGGTGAAGAGAAAATGATCTGCTTAAGTCTAAATTGAGATTCGAAGAGAAACCAAAGCAAAGCTAGCTTTGAAAATCTGACCGCTTATTATTATTGTGTGCTTGAATTCTTAGTAACAGTGTCTTAGTTCAGCTATGTTCCATAGCCAGTTTATAGGGACATTGAAAAAGTACTTTTTTACATATTCCCAAGTTTACTGCTCTCTGATATGTATTCTTGCTAAGTTAATTGTTGAGTCATGTGAATTTTTTTTATTTTAAATTCAGAAAGTAACTGAGAGAAGAAATGGCTTTAAATATATATTTATATATGGCCAAAAATAGATGTAATTCAGCAGCTAATTGGCTCAACATGTCATATATATTTTACATTTTACCCTAAAATTTTTAAAATCAGGAACTTGGGCAGTTCCTGGTAGGTTTTTATTTTTGAGGCTGTTTCTCTTTTGCATTTATGTAAAGCATGTTGATGTTAAAGAATGCCTTCCATACAATAGCGCACACAGGGTGATTACATCTTTTTTCCTTCCACCTCTCCAACAGTTGCTAATGTATATTTAAGTTTCATTTATGTTCAGGCACATCACTGAGGTAATAATTCCAGTAGTTTCTCATAGTCAGTGTGAGTCCTACTACTATAACTGGGTAAAGATTAAAATCAGGTTTTCCAAATACACAAGTTTTCAGAGGCATTTTAATTTGGTATTTTTAAATTATACACTTTTACCCTCGTGTAACTGAAGTTTATAATGTTTATTGGTATGGAAGGAAATCTTTTAATGATGGAACAGTTATCTGGCTGATTGACTGTATGGGTACTGTTTACTTCAAAGTAAATTAGATTTTCTTGTTGAAAATGGTTTTAAAACATTGGCAGATTTTTTTTTTTTATCTTCCCAAAATGCAGTACCTATACATGACATTCAGAATGGAAACACTTGGCTATTATAAGAATATTGTTGAACCTAAAGAAAAGTTCCTATTTATCTTTAAATGTGAATGCATAACTGCAAATAAATGTTGAGTGTATTGTATACTTAAGTTTCTTGTGGGATATCAGCTGGTGGACATCTTATTACTTCCTTTACTCAATTGGCTTTGTTGGTCAGCTTATACTCCGGGCATCGTCATACCTAAGTAACAAGAAAACAGTTGATAATGCCGTACAGGTTAATGGACTGAATCCCTATGAGAACCACATGGGATTCATTAAGTTACTTTTGCCACAAGTGGCTACATAAATGACTGACTTCATTCCTTCCCCCAAAGAATGGGTTTAAACTATTAAAATCACCATATGTTTTAGCAATTACCATATTCTCAGTATTTCGTGAGGCCAATTCCTTAGTGTGTTATATTTGCTTTTTCCAACTAGTATATCCTACACTGAACTTTTTCAATGGACCATCATCTGCTTTCTCGCATGTTTCATTGGATTGTTCATACTTGCCTGTTTAATGAGAATGTTGCATAGTTTTGTGTCTTTTGAACATAGGTTTTCTTTCTCTTGCTTCATATGAATCTGCTGAATTTTAGTATTATCTGTGTAGTTTGCTTCAAGTAATCCTTAAACATTTTTCTTTACCCTCCCAACCCCACCCTTTTTTTATGAAAGGTTAACCTGTAAGTTTTTGAGAGAACACCATTAAAGCACCTCATGGTTTGTTTTCTGTTTGTATATTTACCCGTTGTGTATAAATGTATTTATATGTATGTATCTTTGAATTGCAAGACCACAGTTCTGAGTTGCAGCTCTTTTAGCTCTTTCAGGAATTCCTGAATTTTGATGAAGAATGTCTGCCCACTTTTTTTTTTTTTTTTTAAATTAAATGATGTACTATGCTATTATATATTTTGTGGTTAGGCCTTTTGTGGCAAAGTTTTTTTTTTTTTTTTTTTTTTTTTGTGTGTGTGTGTGGGTTTTGTTTTTTTTTTTTTTTCCTCTAGTCCATATCCCCTGTCACTACAGTAGACTACCTACATTTCCTTCACTGGAACTTTATATGGCTAGTGCTTCTACCTGAGTTATTGGATATTTGTCACAAAGGAGTTTGATACACCAGAACAGTTTTTCTGTCTATTCATTTGGTCGACACCATGATACTCAATGTTTGACAATTGATTTTGACACAAGCAACAAAGTTTCACTAAAAAAGCTATCAAAATTTGGGTTAGTATCTGTGGGTGATTTTTAAAGGTTGAAATCACTTGAAAAAAAAAAAAAGTTGAGAAATTTTGAATTAATGCAGTTCCAGAGATTGGTGTTTGAATCAACTTCATAAATGTAACCACATCTACTAATAATTCTTGGGGAAGGACTTCATATTCTGAAGTTTTGAGTGGCTTCAAATGAAGGATCTCTAAACCCACTCACACTAATCGCTCATCTTTTTACCAATACTTACATTTGGGTGAGCAAGAAAAACACTTGATGGTTTTTGGTGTTCTCTCAATCTTTAGTTACTTTAATTCCTTTTGTTTTCCTTTTTCCAAGAGTATGCTATATATGTTGCTGCCCCTTCCATCAGGGGGTGGTAATAAACAGCACTGGTGAATCTTATGTTTATTATCATACACAAATTCTGTTGGTTTCTGTTTCTGAGTTATTTGTTGTTTTTTCTTTATTTTTTCTCCTTCCCCCTCATTTGCTCATGTCTTGGTTGGCGTTTGGTGGTGTATAACCGTGATTGCGTTACCTTAGCAATAACAATTGGTCGTCTTGGTTACGTTTGTCCTCAAGAGGTGGCCCCCATGCTACAGCAGTTTATAAGACCCTGGTGTGTATTATTCAATCTTTTATTTTAATTCATTTTTCTTCACTCTTTCTTTCTCTATCTCACTTTTAGATATATTTTCAGTTGGTTACAAAAATCACAATCCTTAATCATTGCCAACCATGTGACTAATCTTGTCCTATCAGGTTTGTGAGGTTTCTCAGTAGCATCGTCATGTATATTTATTTTATGTTGTGGCTAACAACTAATTGATGCATGGGATAAGATTGTCACATGCTTGCTGTGTTTAAAAGCTTGATTATACATAAAAGCATTTAAATATCCACCAGAAAAATTAAGATGCATGCAAATTTTATAAATTTAGGTTCTTGCATTGTGTTTTTTTTTTTTTTTTAAGAATTAATTTGGAAACTTGGATTGCATTAAATACACGTTTAAATTTGTTACATACAAAATCTTACTTGCTTGTTAATGTCAGAGTTAAACATCTATACCATAAGTGTATAGCAATAGTTTATATTGTGACAGTATAGCCTGTGTTCTGCTTCTTTCAATTGCTAATTTTTCAACTCAAATCATTTTAGTAAGTGTTTAATGGAATACAAGTCATAAAAGAATTTTAAAAATCAATTTGCTAATGTACTCTCTTTGGCTCAGGCTGCCTAATAGTTTAAGTAAGAAAAACCAGTTGTCTGTTTTTATAGATTCAGTCTATTAAGAAAATGTGAATTTCACTGTTGAAGTTATTGAGATAAGATGGGTCAGACATACAAGAATATGAGGACCTGAAAGTCTAGTTTTCTGAAAATACAGTGTAATCTTTATCTCTATTGTGGTGCCTATTCCATTAAATACTGTCTGTTAACATTGTGTTGAATCTGCTTTTTACTTTAAATACTAAACTCAGTTCTGTAATTCAATAGGTGTACCTCTCTGAGAAACATAAGAGACAATGAAGAAAAAGACTCAGCATTCCGTGGGATTTGTACCATGATCAGTGTGAATCCCAGTGGCGTAATCCAAGTAAGTGTTCACAGGGGTTTGTTTTCAGTGTACTGTGTGCTAAGTAGTAGATTTCTAAAGGAAAAATATTTTATGGCTTTAAGTACATTTGTTTATTTTGTGTATGGACACATGGTAAAGTCGGGACAGCCTGTAGAAGTCAGCCCTCTCCCCAACAAGTGGTTCCTAGAGACTGACTCGGGTCTCACGGCTTGGCAGCATACCTGCTGGACTTCTCAAGCCTTACATCACTGAGTAAGAGTAGTAACAGAGTGGGAGGGGATGGCTATGCTGTTGTCCTCTGCTGGACTAGGCCTTTTCCCGCACTTGTAGACCTCATGTATTTACTTTGTACATGCCTCTGTCCAGTTTACTGAGTTTGAACTTTAAAATAGCAAATAAAATGGAATATTGAGTTATTCTTTGAAATTTTTTTGAAAGCTTATCATTTATTCATTGTTTCCTAAGTTCGTGCTGTCTTTAAACATTTTTGAAATTATACTTATCATTTTTAATATGTATGGGCGTTTTGCCTGCATTTATGTCTGTACACTTTGTGTACCCGGTGCCCTTGAAGGCCAGAAGTGTGGGCATCAGATCCCTTGGAACTGGATTACATATGATTATGAGTGACCATGTGGGTTCTGGGAATCAAGCATGGGTTCTCCGGAAGTAGCTAGTGCTCTCTTAACTGCTGAACCATCTCTCCAGTCTGTCTGTAGAAACTTAATTATTTAGTGGCAGGTTCTATATATGGGACTTCAGTAAAATGTTCCAACTGCAGTTTGTCAGACATAACTAAGAAATAAACCATTGAATTATATACCACATGCTCAAAATACAAAACACCTGTTTGGAACCATAAATTAAATATTCAGTATCCATTTGTGTGGTTGATTGGTGGGATTTTTGGTTGGTTGGTTGGTTGGTTGGTTGGTTGGTTGGTTGGTTGGTTGGTTGGTTGATTGGTTAGTCAGTCAGTCAGTCAGTCAGTCAGTCAGTCCGTCCGTCAGTCCTCTCCAAGAGCAATGTTGCTCTAACCCTAGGCCCTACCTCCAGATCCTGTTTGGTTCTTTTGGAATAGATTCTCACTGTGTATGGCCTGTGGGTGCTGAGATCTGAATTGAGGTCCTCTGCTGAGCCATCTCTTCAGCCACATATTTTTAACATCAAACATAGATGTTTGGATGATGTGAAAACTCCTAACTTGAAGAGCAAGGGCTTTATGCAAAAGGCATTTTATTTGTTTACTATCTCAAGATGGTTGTTAAATTTAATGCTCTTCCTCTCTATTTCAAACTAGCATGTGGTATAAATTCAGGTGATTTCAGGTTGTTTACAATTCAGTCAGAACTGTGTTATTGTTGACTTTACTGGTACTTTCAGACAATTTCTAATGCGAAATATTTGCTAGACTGGGTTTGCTTTTGTTTGCTAAATTACTAGATGATAATGACTTAACAGAAATGTTAAATTCCTTAGTGGTCCTAGTTGATTTTAAATGTTTTGGTTTTAGCTAAGTATTGTGACAAGCTCTCAAGTTTACAGATGTGTTTTACTGAATTTGGTAACTATAGTAGCAACCTAAAATGCTTCTTGCTTGTTACAGGATTTTATATTTTTTTGTGATGCTGTTGCATCATGGATTAACCCAAAAGATGATCTCAGAGACATGTTCTGTAAGGTAACTAATCAGCATTTATGACAGTTAATTCCCAGTTAAATATAAGTTCTTCTTTATTTTAAACTTAGCTTCTCCAGAGAAGTATTGGTTGACTATGTCACCTAAGTCCTTTGCAAAGAACCTGACTTGATCTTAAGATATAGAACTAACTCATGCCAGTATTTTCCCAGTTAACAACACTGATTGGTGTTGTCTTATTATTGCGATTTTTGAAAATGGCTTGAAGTTGTCAAGGTGAATTTGGAACATCCATTGAAACCCAGAGTAACCTTCACAAGTGACTTTCACAGGGATCGGTGCTCTTGCTTTGTTAGTGCTCTCTTCTGATTAGTTACAATCTGTATTCAGCTGTCCCAGCAAGAGAGTCACTTGATATTAGTGACTATACTTCAGAAACCCAAAGCTTGTGTTTAACCCAGCATTTTTAAAAAAAATTTATCCATTAGATAGGTTTTGTGTTTGTTTGGTTTGACTTTTTTTGCTCTTTGTAATTTAATATCTGAGATTTCTTGAGTGCATCATGTTGCTAAAGACACTTCCTGAATTATAAACTTAAAGCATGGAGGTAGTTTTGGTTGTCATAAGGTCTAGAGCTTAATTAACAAAGTTGGAGGATTACTACTTTGATATGGAAATCATAATTAACAGCAGTAATGCTTGATTTCTAAAGCTATACAGATCTGAGTTTTGTCTTTACTCTTAAATTAATAGTTTTTCTCTCTGCAGATCCTTCATGGATTTAAAAACCAAGTTGGGGATGAAAATTGGAGGCGATTCTCTGACCAGTTCCCTCTTCCCTTAAAAGAGCGCCTTGCAGCTTTTTATGGTGTTTAATCTGATACACTTAAGCTGCAGTCCCAGAATTAGGGGTAAGTTACACATTTTAGAATGAAAGTATTTAAAGTATTAATGAATACTGCAGTCAAATACTCCTTCCCTACCCCCAATCTTAGAAAAACAGAAATTCTGGTTAGTGCCCTGGTTTGATTTCTATACATTATTTTATCCCTCTCTTTCCTTTTTACTTTTGCCCTGCTTTGGTTTCTATCCATTATTTTATCCCTTTCTTTTATTTCTTGTTTCCTTCTGCCCTACAAAGTTGTTCACAGATGATTTTCTCTTAGTTTGAGGAAGTGGAGGTTCAAGTACTTGGGTTTTTGTTCTTGATAGTCTGTGTTCTTAATTTGAGAGTAACAGCTGCGTCCATTTAACTCCAGTTCCAGTTCCCTAATCAAGTTGTGTTGAGGGTTAAACTGTGTAGTATATAGTAACAGAACTTTGTACGTTTGCCTTTCACACAAAGTTGCCTCGCTGTATGGATCAGTGGTGAGCTAGTAAAAATTCTTAGGTTGTGAACAAGACTTGAGAACTACCTATCTGACTGGAAGCCAGCCATAGGATACACTAAATGTGTAGAAATGTATACTGTACCAGATTGAAGTACCCTTTACATCACGAGGGTTTGGAAGGTTGTTTCATTTTATTTTTTTTTTTTTTTTTTGCTAGCTGCTTATTTAATCTGGGCATGAAAGATTTCATTGTCCAAGTTACCTAACCTAGAAGAGAGTAGAAATGAATTTATTTACAGCATCAGGCTGTCTAGTCCCTCTGTGTATTGTTCCATTTTAGTTATGAATCCTCAGCTTTAGTATTCTGAAATGTTTGGTTCACTTTCTTAGGCCATGAGAATGTGATAGAGAGAAACGACTTAGCTTTAAAGAGTCTGCATTGAGCTAGTAAGTCTTAAGTAGTTTGTCATTCTTTGGTTTCATCACCAAGTAGGAGTTAACTGTGGTAATCCTGCTTCTGAGATGAGGTAGGAAATAATTCTTTCCTAGATTTTTAAAGTGGGTCAGTATCTCTTGTTCTTGCTTCTTTGTGGTAGCATGCAGAAGCAGGAGAAAGGAGTGGGCCAGTTAACCTTTGAATTCATAGGAACATTTACAGGTGTCCAAAAGTTTGGCCTAAGTGGTTAGTAGCAATTTTTGTAAAAGGACCACTGTCAGATTTTGGTTTAACTATTCCAGTAATCTTACTTGATTTCTTATGTCTGTCTTAGCAATTTAAAACATCCACATCAGCAAAAATGAAATTGTCTGAGAATATAGGAAATAACCAATAGGGTTGGAAGGATGAATAGTTACAAACATCAACAAGATGGGTGTTAGGAGGCTCAGTAGTTAAGAACACTTTGAGTTCAATTCCCAGCAGCCACATGGTGGCTCACACCCCTCTATAGTGGGATCCGATGCCCTCTTCTGATATAAAGGTGTACATGCAGGCAGAGCATTCATACATACATAAATACACAGATATAAATAAATCTAATTTTAAAGAAAGAAGGTTGTTAAGTTCTATTTTTGGACATTATCAAATGTTCTGACCCCCAATAGGGTAAAAAATAGAATTTGTTTCCTTAAACATTGGATATATTAGAAAAGTAGATGATCCTTTAATTCCCTGGAAGGAAAGTGACTATCTTAAATTGTGATTTCATTTTTAAGAAAGTAAGGTGACATTATGCAGGGAATGTTCAATTTGCATGAGACTCATTCTGCTAAAAGAGCTAAAGATAAATAACATTATACAAGGCAGAATTCATCATATGAAACATTATACGCTGTATGTCCCCGGTGTGGGTTCACTTTCATATCTAATGCAGACAACTGTTCAGTCACAAAAGAACATAACATGATCTTTGGCAATTTGTCCAATTTCTTATTTTCTTTATAGGTAAAGTTAGGATTGTTATTTGATTGATTTTTATGCTCCATTGGCTCTGAAAGAAAGGTGGGTATTAAAGATAAAATTGGTTTTGTTTTTTGCAGGTCCATCAGTCTTGGAGACTATGAGGGAGCCTCTGCACCCAGGGAAAATGTTACCCTTTACAGGGGGAAGGGTAAACCAGTAGGGAATACAGTACAATCCCAACCCTACTGGGAGGGGCGGGAGGGAGGTGTTGCCGTCACTGTATTAAGTCGATGTTGGGAAATGTTTTAACATCTGGAGCCTTTGTGGGTGGAAATCTGTCTCCAATTACAACTCTGCACTGGATGTGAAGAAGCAAAAACTATTCAGTCTACTCACAGAACAGTACTTTCTGAAATATTATGGGGAATTGTACCTAAACAAGAACCATATAAACAATGCGTAGGGATGAGGAGAAGGAGGAAAATCCCATGGTCCACAGCAAAGGAAACCTGAGAGTGGGAAGCTACAACAGTAAGGAAGCTTTGTTCATTAGAGGTTTTATATAAAATTTCCCACGTTACGTACGGGGACCTTGTTCTGCATGCTGATGAAGAGATACACAAAACTAACAGTTAAAGTCAGCTTGCCTCCCCTAGTAGCAGCAGGTTCTTGGACCTTACAATTTTTAAGGTACCCCCAAAAAGTTGGAAATAAAACAAAACAAATTTGAACAATGAAGCACCCTGTGAGATGCCAACGAGTCACTCCTTTTACCTTTGCGGGATGGGCAGGGAGGGAGGAATAAATGGGGTCGGGGTATCAAACTAAAGGTGACATCTAATTTTACATTAAAACGTTAGTGGATATAATTTTATGGTTGTACTTCTTAGATTTAATTTCTAGGCCAACACGTTATCGTAAGGTGCAGTTTAAGGTTCAGGCATGCGCTCTGGCTCATAGTGATTGAAAGTGGTGTAAATTAGTGGGACCGTAGCATGCTTGCACCACATAGAGTGCCGTTGGTATTCATTTACCTATGTTGCGCCAGTTTGGGTTGCAGTTTACCAATTCAATAGCCCTGCATTTAAAATTACTTTAAGATTTGTGGATTTTATTTTTATTAAGAATATAGATATATAAAGTACTGTAGTTTACAGCTAGGCCTTGAAATATCTTTTTAGGATCTGTTAGGAATAAGATTGGTATTGTATTGTGTGTAACCTGCACAATGTGGAAAGCTGATATACCTGTGCAAAATCTTTGCCTCTGTGCTGTCAGTGTGGTGTGCTTTCTGCATGGTTATATACTACTAGTGATTTTTATCAAATTTCAAATTACATGGTAAAAGATTTGTAAAAGGCTGCATAAATGTTAGTTGGCACATAAAGACAATTGTAGAAGTTGAAACATGATTGCTATATTCAATGTTTATTCCCACTCAACATATTGCCTCTAAGCTTTCCTTTTTTTTTTTTTCTTTCATTTTTTTTCTTTTTCTTTTTTCTTTTTTCTTTTTTGTTCAAAGCATGATCTTAAAGATATGTTTAAGTTAATGGATGTAATGCAGGGTTCCTACACTGTATTGGCGCATGTTGGTGGCCCTTTGTGCCCTAAGTATATGCACACAGGGTGCAAGTTCAAAGCTACAGAGTGAGAGTTGGTTTGGATCCTCTTCATTTCATTTGTTTGACTTTTCTGTTATTTCCCCCCTCTACTTACATGTATTCCTGTGAATAAATCCTTGTTAAGTTAACCCTTTACTTTTCCTTCCATGTGTATTTTCTTATATACTGTGAATGTGAAGACCCTAACTGGTACACTTGATCTTATGTCCATATGAAAGTGCAAGTCTTTATTAATTTGGATTGCCTGAGCAGTGTGTATCCCATGATGATGAAGGAAAATGGAGAGATTTATCTTTTTAGCTCTGCTGGTCAGAGATAAAGCCACACCTTTCCATTTTTCAATGCTGCATATTTAATCTGCAACAAAATGTTAAGCCATAACAGCCTTTTTATATTTTAATTTGTCACCTTTGCATTGCAGAATAAATACCGAATAACCGTTTTTTATAAGCAGTTGCTCCTCTTTGCATGGTTCTGTTCTCTAAAAGTGTTGACTGGTAAAGCCATTGCACTGAAGCGTGAGCTGTGTGCATGTGACTTTATAAACAGTTTCAAAACATTTCACATGCATGGCAGCATGCAAAAAGGTTTTAGTTGTTGTGTATATGTTTAACATGTTCTTTTACTTTGTTTCCTTCTATTTTGGCTTTGCAAATTTCAGTCTATAGGGCCTGAAATAAAACCATCAACAATGCCTGATCTTTTTTTTTTTTTTTTTTTTTTTTTTTTTTTTTTTTTTAATTCAAGCTAGACTCAAGGGTATGTGGCATATCACTTGTTCGTGCAGTTACCTTACTGGGAGCTCAAAATTTGCTTCTTGAGTTGGCTTTAAAGCTGGAGCAGAATAGCTGTTTTACCCTTGGGTTGTAGTTAGCATATGCCCTATAGTGCTTCTGATGCTTTCCAAAAAGTAACATAGGAGGTAATAATCTTGTGTAAGAGTAAATAAACAGCCAGATTAGTCTCTTAACATAATAAAACAAATATAAAATTTTCAATAAAGTTATATACCTGTGATTTAAAAAAATCTTTATTAAATAAAAGCAACATTGTCACCTGTCTGATTACGAATATATTTCCAATTTGGCAGTTATGCAGCACACACAAAAAAAACCCAATATTTTGTTTTGTAGTGAATTGATTTGTTTCTAAATTTATGATAGAAAATTAAGTAAATATGACTGACAACCTAAGATTAGGGGTATTATCTTATGTTGTTTCCTTGTTGAGGCTATTATTTCCTCCTATTTCAGACAACATAGTATATATATAGCACAGGAATTTGCAGAAGCCATGTAAGTTTTATTGAGGTAAACGCTGAGTTAGCATTTATTGTTTTGATGAAACGTGACACATCATGGGATATATAAATATATATAAAAAGCAACTCAATTCTTGTGGTGCAGTCTTGATAGCTTTGAATGTTGACTGGATGTCTGTGAGATTGTTAGTTTGTCATTGTTACATTCCAGTGTTTCTGCCTCTTGGCATGCTTAAAGCGCGGCTTCCTCCGCCTGCTCCTTTCACACTAAAATGCTGTTAGTGTGCTCAGCTACAGAGACAGCCGCTGCTGAGTGATGTAGATTTTCTACTTGAATATTTTTATGTTGTAGGAACCTCAGGAGGTCAGTGTTTACTGTTTTATATATGCCTTCTTTTCCTGTTTGAGCTTCTCTCTTTGAAGGATTCTAACAGAACAAAAGCTGCTGATCAACCTAAGTTGGAAACAGAAAGTGTGTTTAGTGTAATTTAAATGCATATTGGCAGTTCCATGTTACAGCCCATTAGCAAATGAACTTAGTGCCACAGGTGTTCATTTATTCAGGAAATAATTTTGCTTTTTGTATTGTCTAATCTCTTTAATGACTTCATACTGTGTAAAAAAAAAAAAAAACTTTTGTATTGTTTGTTGATTATTTCCAAAATAATCAACTTGTAAATATCCTTAGAGCCAGTTCTGATGCTTACATTATTGCTACTTGATTTTGTTATGCAACTTAGATTTCAGATCTTAAAACACTTAACCAAGCCATTACATCTTAAAACAAAACAAGTAGCATACATTTTGTAATTAACATTGATGAACACTGTGATTTTTTTGGTTAAGACTTTTTCATTGATCTGAACTGCTTAAATTGCATATATTGTAAAATAGAGTCAGATGTATATTTTAAGATAATTTCAACTGACTTTCCTCTTACTGCTTTGTCTACTCAGTTATGAATATTCGGATACAAGTTTTATCTCAGGTGAATATCCTTGTATCATTTTGCTTTGGTGACATGTTTATAAAGAAAGATCATCGTACTTAATTGTCTTTGGAGGTTTGTGAGTTGTTGTTTTTATGTATTTTATTGAGAATCTTCCCAATTAGTCTGATATTTCCCTCCCCTCCCCCCCAATTGTTCTATCAGACTGAGCAATACAGAAAGCTCTCCACATTTGGTCTGTAGATTTATCTGAAAATGAGTCGAGTTTGGTCCTTCCCTTTTCAAATCCTCAAAATACAAAAGTGGAACCTTTTCTTCCCTACATGAAATTCTGTGTAGTTGAGGTGCCAGAATTGAATTACATATTGAACTCTTGTCTCAATTTAACACCTTTGCAATGAAGAAATTTTTTTTTGCTTCATATAGTTAATTATATTCATATTGAATGTATTAACAGATGCCAGAGCAAAAGCATTCTTCCCAAGAGAAGAGTGTGTCGTGCATACCTGCAACCCTGAGTTCTTCCTTTGTTAGTACTTCAGGTGCACACAGCTTTGCTTACAGAGTTACTTTTGCAAATATTACAAGGCAGGGAGACACTAATTGTTGCTGCTAATACTGTTTAGTAAAGTGGGCATTGGAATCTATAAGAAAATTAGGGTCTTGTGGTTAACGGCCTGGGATAATTGAGATGGAAAAATGAGCAGTAGTGACTTGTGTTGGTAACAATATTATCTAGTATCAATACCATGCAGTAGCATTGTATATCAGTCAGTGCACTTCGTAGAGATTAAATATGGCAGTGCTTCTAAGGCCTCTTTAAAGTTAAGTTTCACGTGAAGGTTAGTTTCTCTTACCTGTATACTTTCTTGGTAACTGAAAACTAACTTTAGGCTTGATATAGATCTTCTCCCTGTTGGTATCACATATATGTAGATAATTCTCAATCAATGCCTACTTATTATACTTATACAGTTGCAAGGTATAAGCTTAATTACAGCAACTGCTTTTGTGGTTTGTATCCCAGAGTGTATTGTGTTGAAATAAAAAGATGCATAGCAGCTGAATGTATGCATGACTTTGAGGGAAGTTAAAACTGGTTTTCTTTTCCCCCACCTCTGTACATTAAAAACTAAGCCAAATCTATTTGCCAATAGTAGATCACTAATTATAAAGCTAGTAGTTTTCCTTTTAGCAAGAGGTTTTGTTTGCCATACGTCACTCTTACTGTGGCTTGGTATTATGCAGGATTATCTATTCACAGGTATGGTCATCTTGCTAAATGCCTGCTATAACATGGTTAGCCTGTAAGGCAGTGTCGTCCCTCCTAATGTCCACCTCATAAAGGGGGTTCCACTGTATTTTCCTCATATCTTTTTGTCAGTGCTTTCCTATGTGGATATATATAACCAAACTGAGCGTCATTGTTTTTTTTTTTTAATGGAGATAATAATTAGATAATACTATGTAATTAATTTTACTGAATAGATTATCATCTTAAGAGATGCTTAAACATGGTAAATCACTTCATGTTATGAAAGTTTTACACTTAATATTCATGTTAACATTGGGTGCAATAACTTAGTAGTACTTGCTTAGTTATAAATAACTGGATCTTTCTGCTGACAACTTAGGTTGTATGAGTTATGCTTAAAAGCTTTAAATTCGATGTTTCCTGTACCTGCCACACTATGTTAGAATGTGTCCTTCAAACATATCCTCCTGCAACTTCTCAAACTGTACTAAATTGATATTTCTTGAAGTCTAACTCTGTGCTAACAGATCTTCATTTTAAATAGAATACGGTTTTAATTTTTGATAAGCTGCTGAATTTTAAAGAGAGTTTTTTGGGGCCACCAAATATTTTGGATCATGCAGAGAATATATATTGTACTGTAGTAATTTTGTATTTACATTTGTATGATGTGACATAATAGATGTGAATGTTAATCACTGCTTGACTATGTTAATAAAGTTGTTTAACTATAGACGTTGCACTCTGATTTTTAATGGAAAGAAATTATCTTTTTTTGTCCCTTCTACATTTTGTGTTCTTTTAGATTTAGTGGGGTCTTTTGGGGGAACGGGATTAAAGTGTTGTTGTGTGATTTTTTTTTTTTTTTTTTTTTAATGTTTTGGTTTTGGTTTTCTTTAGCTTACACATTAGTGACCTGTTGTTATCTGAACAAACAACTTTTTTTCTTGGTCATGTACTACAGTAAAAAGAAACTTGCATACATTTTAACTTAACTAATGTTTGATTTGTTTGTTTGTTTGGTTTGGTTGGTTTTGGTTTTTTGAAACAAGGTTTCCCTATGTAGCTTTGGAGCCTATCCTGGCAGTATAGACCAGGCTGGTCTCAAACTCAAAGAGATCTGCCTGCCTCTGCCTCCCAAGTGCTGGGATAAAAAGCGTGCACCACTGCCCAGCGTAACTACTCTTAATGCTTTTCAACTCAAGCTGTGGAGGAGAGGGGCCATAACTGCTCTGCCAGAGGGAATGGATGACGGCGATACTATGATAGAAAGAGCTGGCGATAGAGAAGACAGCCTTCAGAGAGCTGAGGCTTATGGTTTTCCAGCCATTTCCTCCTCAGGTTGTAGCAACTAACATAATTGCATGTTGCCAATTAAAACTTAAGTGTTGATACATTCTAGAGTGTGTGCAGACATAGCTGTAAAGTGGTCTTTTTAATTTAAGATATAGAGCATTTTAGAACAAGAAAGGGCAGCTCAGAAACTTGAGGTTCTTTGCTCTTTTTAAAGACATTTGAGGTAACACATTGTGTTGACAAGAATGAATTGGAACTGAGATACAGTATTCTCTGAAACAACTTGCAGAAGGAATTTAAGAGTCCATGGTTGGGGAGAAAGGATTGTAGGAGCCAGAGGGGTCAAGGACACCATAATAAAACTCACCTAATCAACTACCCTGGGCTCACGGGCTCACAGAGATTGAGCCGACAACCAGGGAGCCTGCATGGGACTGACCCAGGCACTCTGCATGTATGTGACAGTTGTGTAGCTTGGTCCTCTTGACAGTGGGAGCAGGGGCTGTCTCTGACTCTTTCACTGGCTTTTGGGACCCTACTCCTTATACAGGTTCACCTTGCCCAGCCTTAATACATAGGGAGGTGCTTGGTCTTACTGAAACTTGATAGGCCATGTTTTGTTGATACCATGGGAGAGCTGCCCTTTCCTAAACAGAAATGGAGGAGGAGAAGATTGGGGGGTGAGTGCTGGGAGGCTAGGAGAAAGGGGGAACTACAACCAGGATATAAAATGAATAGATTAAAATTAAAGAATAAAAGAAAAAGGCCCGGATTGTGGGGTTAGGTTGTTGTTGATGTTCCTTTAAATCTGCCTCATCCTTAGTTCAGGATTCTAGTTTGCTTCCTGAAGATGAAATCTTGAAACTGTAGTCTTACCAGTTATTAAAATGGTTTTTTCCCTCTCAGCTCATATGATACCCATATTGATAAGTGAGTAAATGGGTCATTCCATCTCTGAACTGGCATTTTTGTAATGCATGTATAGTCTGACAAAAATACTAATTCGGGGTCAGGGTTAAAGTGGCAGTGAAGCTGTACAGGTCTTGGGTGGATTTTCTTCATTATGCAGTTGACATCGGGAACTACTCACACTGTGACTGTCACACGTGGTCACACACCTTTATCTCTGAGTCTGGTGTTTATAAAACTGTAATGACAGCCTGAAGTTTAATAGAACTTAGTTGACTGGCAGTGATATGAAGATTGTTATAGTTGCCACCTTGAGATTTTTTTTTGTCCCAGCCACTCATTTTTTAAATGTTACAGTGATCTTACTGTGACCATTTCAAGTATTCCTCTTCAGTATCAGTGAGTAAAAAGTACAAAAACTGCATTCAGGAGGCAGAGGCAGGAAGATCTCTGAGTTCACAGCTAGCCTGGTCTATATAGAAGCAAGTTCCAAGATAGTCAGGACTACATAGAGTGGCCCTTTCTCCAATAAAGAAATAGATGAGTTTTGTCAGTAGTTTATTGTTGATGCTTTTGAATGCATGTAAGTGTGGAGTTGGCATTGCTTGTAGACACGGTTACTTCCAGACTCATCAGCAGATGAGTACACATTCATGTAGCTGTGTACTTGATTTAGTTTACAGCTTCTACAACTGTCCTATTGGCACTCATTCTAATGTTACTTCCGAATGAAATAGTGATGGGTGTTCAGATGCTTAAACACTCGGCATACATTTACAGTAATCTTGTATTCTTTCTATGGACTTGTTAGACCAAAAAAAAAAAAAAAAAAAAAAAAACCAGTTATAACAAGGTTACCTGTCAGTTGTGGTCTAAGGTTTTCCTAGCCAGCAGCACCTGTGTGCTGTGAGTTGTAGTCTAACGGCCAGGGTTCTAACTTCAAGTTTATGTATGAAGTGTATTTTTGTATTGCAGGTTTAAGTTACCTGTGTCTAATGTTGCAGACACTGTCCTGGTCACATGAAGTGAGAGAGCTATCTAAAGCAGTGTGTTATATGGTGCTGGTACAAGAAAGGAACACAGTTGATAGATACAAGGGACTGTTTTGTCACTTGAGCTGAGGGGTTCAAAGTCGTGAAAGGATGTCATGTGGCTAAGAGTCTGAAGGAGGGAGAGAGGCTGTTGATTCTTGGAGATTATCTCAGGTGATGGGGCACACATAGATAGATGGCCTGGACAGTTATGTACTTGGATATCACCTTAGTGTCTACAGCAAGGAAAGAGACGGCCTGAAGGGTAACTGAAAGGTGAGCGGGAAGGGCTCTGCAGGACTTTGGGGTAGAATCCGATACTGCTCAGCAGGCACAAAGGAAGAAGCAGATTTGGGGGCACTATTGTTGGGGGGGGGTTGATGAAAGAACCCGTGGGTGTGTCGTAAGGAGTGGGCAGAATTTGACAATGTACTGAATGTGTTGCGGAGTAGAAAAAGAATGACAAATGGCAGACCTTAGGCATGGCAAACAGCTGGAAGGGCATAATTGCAATTAACTAGAAGAGGTTTGAGGGATCCATGAGAAGCAGAGGAGGAGGCACTTTGAGTAACAGGAAAATACCTGGCTGAAGATGATGAGCTGGAAGTTTGTGTATAAACGGCAGTTCAAACCATAAAGCTGAAAAAATATCAGAAGGCAAAGGACTGAGGCTCAAAGGTGGAAAAAAAAAGAAAAGAAACAAGTTGGGGCTGGAAAGATGTTAGAAGTTAAGAGCATTGGCTGCTCTTTCAGAGGCCCAGAGTTCAATTCCCAGCTCTCAGATGGTAGTTTACAACCATTTCTTATGCCATCTTCTGGTAGACAGACCTACATGTCGACAAAATTCAAAACATAAAATACATGAAAAGATCAGAGAAACATTGTGTGGGATCAAGTGGGTGCACTGTGTTCACTTGACACTACAGTATGCAAGGCATTAGTTTTGACCAACTTTTAATAACTAGGAAAGATGATACTATCTCCCAGGGATACTGAGAGGCCTTGGGTTGCCATTTTCTCAAGGTCAAATTGGCAAGTGAAGTTTCTGGTTTTTCTGAAACTAAATTTAAAAGTTTAGAAAAGGAGCCTGAGATAACTTTTAATGCCATCCTCAGAAGATTTGTAATTTTCTAAACTAGATAAAGGTATTTGAATTCATGAAGGCAGGCAGAAAGTAAAAGTTACAAGGGTAGAACAATCTCCCTATTTCCAGGTCTGTGGTAGAGGGATTACTCTTGTGAATCAATAACTTTGCAGAACTGAGCCCAGAAAAAGCAGACCATGAAACTGCCATACTTCAATCAACAAGATGAATTTTTTGACAAGTTTAAAACAAAGAAGTTGGGTTCATAACTTCATGCTCTACCAGAATTCTGGCTAACTCAAAGATCTAAAGATACTATCCTAAACTTTGTTAAATGGTTTATTTTCATATTATGAATCTTAGTTTTGCCTGTGTGTGTAACTACACCATGTCGGGGAAGTGCCTTCAGAGGCTAGAAGAGGGCTTCAGATTCCCTGGGATGGGAGTTAATGGGTGCTGGGAACCAAACCCTTGGTCCTCTGAAAGAATAGCTAGTGCTCTTAACAGCTGAGCCATCTCCAATCCCATGTTTGTGTAAAATGCAATCATAATGTAATGTGGTATCTAAGACAACCCTCCCCCAAACAGTTGATTTCTCAAAGTTAATTGTGCATGTCAAACTCAAGTTACAAGGCTCAGCAAATCCTTGAGAACCCAGGAGAAAGGCTGGCGAAAGGGGACTCTAATTTTTTAAGTATTATAGTTCTAGGTCAAGCACTATAGAAGGAAGAGGCAGGTGGATCTCTGAATTCAAGGCCAACCTGGTCTACAGAGTGAGTTCCAGGACAGCCACGGCTACACAGAGAAACCCTGTATCAGAAAAGAAAAGGAAAAAAGATTATTGTAAGTGCTATGTATATGATGGTGTTGAGGAAATAAAGATAAATGTGTCTGTAGATGTTGAATTCAGTCAGATGCAGCACCTACCATCAACCTTCCCCCTCCCCCACTCACCCTTTTGTCCCTAGTAAGTCCGCTGCTTCACATATTCTGTGTGGTCCATTATCCTCCCCACCTCCCTTAAAGCCTCTTCCCATCTCATGGACATTTCCCTAGTCTCCTGGCCTCTTGCCCATACGTGCCCCACTAAATACAATGTGGGGCCCACATAGAGAAAGGGTATAGTTGAGCCTAGGTTACCTCACTGTGTATTACTACTTTCCAGTTCCATCTATTTTTCTGCAAATTTCATTTTTTCTTTGCAATGTTTCATTATCTACTCATGTGTCACAGAGATACCTGTCCATGTTTATTGCTGCTTTTACCACAATAGCAAAGAAGTGGAACCAGCCTTAACTGTCCCTCATCAGATAAAGAACTGAACTGTTAAGTGCATTCTGTTCAGAGAGTTGCAATCCAGTTCCAGTTTGGTCACCTGAACACTGATGAAAGTCAAGTAATACTAAACAAGGA